GCCTTTATGTTAGCCCGACTGAATATCTTCCCTTCAGAGGTGCTTAAAGGACAATATACCCGGGTACCTTTTGAACAAAGAATTTGCAATTTCTGCGGTTTAGAACCAGATTCAGTCACACACATCCTTTGTCACTGCCCTGAGTTTAAAGATATGCGTGCTTATCTTTTAGGTTCAATAATTTCAAATTTTTCTGGCCCTCCCCAGTTACTCACAGGTTTCCTCCTTAATGACTATTCACAAAAAATAATGGCCTTAGTAGCCGAGTTTCTTACAAAGGTTCTCTCCGCCCAGGGCTCTAAAAATTAACTAGACTACTCCAAAGTATCTCCTATTGTGTTTTTTGCTGTTGTTTTTTTTTAGCCGTGTAACTACCATTATGTGTGCCGGATAATACCGAAATGAAAAGATTATTGAGAGTGAATAGAGTAGGATCCTCATATCAATGGGAGATTGTTTCTAACCCCCCCCCATAGATGCTGAAAATTGTGGATAATAGCAAACGAGAGAGAGCATGGTAAAAAAAAAATCCAGAAAAGTATTTCCACCAAATATTACCAGAGATGGCCACCAGAGGGAGTGAGAGACCATGCTATGTAGTCTTCAAAAACAAGAATCCATAACATGGTATCTGGCTCCATCCAGTGGCCAGTTCTGGTTAATACATTGTGAAAATACATATTTCTAGTTTATTTCTTTTAGTATTTTTAATGTTTTCAGACTTCAGATAAGTGAAACCATGGATACAGATCTGCGGATATGGGGGTCCTACTGTACTTATTTCTTTGGATAAAAGGAACAAAGTATTATAGAAATACATTAGAGCATTAATCAAAATTAATAATTAATTTTTCCAGTTCTAAACCAACTGTTTCTGAAATTCAATATAAACAAACTAAATCTACTCAGCATGAAGATATTGGTATTGGCAAACTGGTACTAGTGCATTTAGCTAGTAACCATATTCTGACTCCGTCTCAGTTTCTCATTTGTAAAGTAGGAATAATGTTTAGCAGTTACATCCTTTTTCTGAATTTAAACAAGATCACTGTAAATCACTGCTACATAAATAACACAAAAAGTAATGACTGAAATTCTGAGAAGCTGAGGAATGTGTCATCATCGTTTAGTCGTGTCAGACTCTTCGTGACCCCATGGACCAGAGCATGCCAGGCCCTTCTATCTTCGAATGCAGAGAGGGCCAAAGAAGTGTCTTCAGGAATAAATTAAAGTAATTGATTGAGTTTTGTTTCTCTTCCAAGGTGAGTTCATCATTGGTCGTGTTATCAAAGCCATGAACAATAACTGGCATCCAGAATGCTTTCGTTGTGAGCTGTGTGATGTGGCCCTTGCTGATTTGGGCTTTGTGAAGAATGCTGGCAGGTAGGAACTGTTAGCAGACATGAACTCAAGATAATTCTTTGGGTGATTCATTTGGAATCTGTAGCAGAGTCTTAATTGGGTGGGAGGACCACTTCCTCTTGCCTGGAAATCCTTGTGGAACAGAAAGTTTTAAGGTTTGTGGAGATCAGCAAGTGTTTCTACTAGTAGGGATGGACAAATCAGTTTTCACAACTTACTGCAACTTTTGAAGCATAGGTCTGTTCTCTCTTGTTCCTTTATCACTTTACAAATGTTTCTGTTTAAAGCAACAACAGAAGCACACTGATGTGTTTTGTATGCAGTTCTCTCAGTGTATCTATTTTTATGGACCTTCTAACAAATTGATTTCTCTGAACACGTATGATAGGACGAATCAAACAAAAAGGCATGTATTATTAGAAATGCATTAAAAATGTTACATCCCTTATTCTGATATATGCAATTTTTTGTGCATTTCCTAATACATTGATTTTTTGTATACAGTTTTTCCAAGTTGTAGTACTCACTGTAGCATTTTAAGAAGTTCAATGCCTACATTCTGGTTCACATATTATTTTGGAAAGCACAAATTAGGTTGGTTCATCTTAAAATGTAAACCTACATTATTTCTATACCATGTATATTAATGACACGTGCAGAAGTGAAAGGTAGACCAAACTATCACTGGCATGTATACAATTCCTTCTGAAACACAGAAAATATTGTTCAACATGTACCTTCATCTCCCTTCCATACAAGTGTGGCATACAGACAAGGATTGGGAGTGTGAGAGCAATCCCCAAATTTTTAGTGGGATGCCCCCCAAGTCATGCATACTTCCATATGTGAAGGTTTTAGCATATGAACTGTAATTATCTGTAGAATGTATCAAATGTTAGCACAGTTTTGTAAAACAAGCAAGTAAAGGGCTGTGAATCTGACTCTGACTCTTAAATAATAATATTAAGTGTAGAGGAATATTGTGAAAAGGGGTAGATGATGTATTGGGATGAGTGGGTAGTATCAGGAAAATATATTAAAAGGGATCCATCCTCAAAATGGTGAGCAAATCATTCTGGACAAACTGTCTGGCAGAAGAAAAGTGATTGCATAAACTACCATGGAGGCTTTGAATGGAGTAATTACTTATCAACAGCAAGTTAATGGACAAAAACAATATCACTTAACAGTGAGGCAAAATGTCTTTGCTCTCTCATTCAAAATGCATTATACAGTAGATTTATAAAGGTTTTTTAGAAGTCATAAACTATGAAGATTAAGGAGGTACTGTAAAATAAATGAGAACGGCTTGCACAAGACTCATGCCATGAAAGTAAAACGAATCACAGCTTGTTAGTACTGTATTGTACATCAACATTTGGTTGCTCGCTTCAATAGTTGCCTCTGACCTTTCACTGGAAAAGTCTCAGAGTGTCTGTTCATATGTCTTTGGGTAACTACATTTAGGCACTTTCTCTGTTCAATAATAGAAACTCTTTGAACCAGCCTTATTTTGATACATTTCTCATTTAAACTGGATGGAGTAATGAGTAGAAGTGAGGTTATTAAAAAGAGAACAGAGAGTTGTTTGCATCCCTTTATTTAATAGTTGTCAAATATTTCTAGTCAAGGCAAAATGCATTGTAGGCAAGCAGTCAAGATTCCATAGCTAAAAGTCAAATTGCATGATTGAATAAGGCTGGGGCAAGAAGGCTGGAAGGGACCTCAAGGATAATTGAGTCCAACCCCCTGTCAGAGTCAGAGATACAGATAAAGCCATCACTAACCTCTATTGAAAAGCCTTACATGAAGGAGAGTCTGCAGCTCTCCAAGGCAGTTCATTCCTCCATCAGGCAGCTCTTGGTCATGAACTGCTAGACTGAACTAGATTAGTATGGTATTTTATAAAGTTCCCTAGAATCTTTGAGTCATATATGAGAAGAAAAGCAAGGAGCAGGAGAAATAGTCATTAGCCACCTAAATCAAGGGTGGGCAATTAATTTCTATAGGGGGGGCCACATGAAAAATCTGAACTGTGTTCGGGGGCCTAACCAACTTTATTTAAAAATAAAATGAAACTGATGTTATGATTGTTTTTATTTTAAACTTGTTAATCTTCACAAATACTAAAGAGGTTTTTTTGTGGTATGTTAAAGATAAGCAACTGATAAACTTTAGACAAAAAGCTATAAATGGTTTTGATGTCCGGTGGGCCAGACAGGAGCGGCTTGTGGGCCATATGTGGCCCTCGGCCTGCACTTTGCTCAGGTCTGACCTACATGGTGCATACACATAAACATTCATGCTTTTAAAAAAAGGAACTGTTGAATCATTCTTCTAAACCTGTCAATGAACATGATACCTACAGCCCAAGAAATGCTATAAATTATAATGTTGTGTTCATATTCTGTTCAGTGCATTGCCTGGTCAGAAGGTCAGGAGTGAGAGAGTTCAGTTGTGCAGAGAATCCAAGTGTTCTTCCTTTGTTGCAGCTGTGGTAGATCCACTGTAGAATTCATTCTAAAATCTATATTCACAATTGCCCAAAGCTCTGTAGACCCGATGGTGAATACTTTTCTTAGTGCCCCCCCCCCAGCTTTAAGCTGAATTCATTGGAAAAATCTCCCAGGAATGCACAGAATAGGACTAGAGAGCAATTATATATGTATCAAAATTATTGAATTGTAGCTATACTGTCTGCTTATTTGATGTCATAGCAGACTGATATTTGCTTCAGCTGTTTATCAGTTTGTCTGTTTTACAGTACAGTCATAATTATGAGAACTTCATTTCTTTCTTAATTTCCTGGTTATTCAATTCTTATTCATATCAGGCAGTAAGAAGCACAGTATTATACTGTAAAGCCAATGATATTTCATACCCTGAAAGTAGAGTTCCCTGGGGATGAGAGCCATGCCGAAGTCACTGTGAGAAACAGCCCCAGAGTCTCTGGCTGGAGGAATTAGAATAGGATGGGATGTACCTCTCATGAAGAGGAGCTGTAGCCGAGGAGGGCCCATTTCCAGGGAGCACCACATACAGTATGCCCATGAAAAACTCTATAGGTGTAGATATACCACCAGCGGAATCTCTACCAGTTCTACAACCCAAAGTAGGGGACTTTGGAGATGGTTTAGCTAGAATCCACTGGATCCAAAGCTTCTTCCTTCCTTTGAGAGGTCTCTGGTTCAGACTCCCCACCTGTGCCAGTCTACAGTAGATTGGTGAGGTTGTTTAAGAACTAGTCATGAGAAGAAAAAAGAAAGGGAGGGTGCCCTCCTGCCTTGGCTGGCTTGAGCCCACTGGATTTTGGAAAAGGTAAATCTTCTAAGGCTTTCATTCGCTCTCCCTCCAGTCTGTTGTTTTTGTGTTCCCAAGAACAAAGTATGAAATCTGGCTGTTATGCTACCTGAATTACTGTGTTGCAGTCTAGAGGATTTGTCAGTTGTGCTGGTTGGGAATGTCTTTTTAAAACAGTAGCCGCTGCCACATTTTTTACAGTTCAGATTTAGCACTTAAGGAGCTGTCATTTGTTTTTCCGTCATAACTTGAAGGCAGCCTTGTAGCCCTTTTGCTGCAAAACATGCCACACAGGGCATCTCGGAACTTCTCAGCGACAAAGAAATACATGACGGGATCTAGGGCACCGTTTAAGCTGGTGAGACAGGATGTAATGCGATTACCAAGGGCCAGAATCCGCTGCATTTCACAGGAAGTCTTCATGCCATCATAATTTAGGATATAAATGTAGCGGTTGATATGATAAGGCACAAAGCAGACCAGGAAGATTGTAAGTACCATGATTATCATTTTGATGGCTTTCTCCTTTAGGTGATTTTCAATTCGGTTCCCTTTCTTTAGGCTTCGTATAATCAGTAGGTAGCAGGCCACTGTAGTGACAAAGGGGAGAGTAAATGCTATAGCCAAGGATACAAGAGCGTGACGGGATGCCTTCTCTCTATACAGCTGTAAGCAGATGGTGGTATTGTTCATCTCGGCGGTCTGCACACTGACCAAAAGAGGTGCCATGGCCACAGCAATTAGAACCCACAAGAAAGCACAGGCCAAGTGGGCATAGAGTGACCTGCGGAGTTTGAGGGATTTTACAGGGTGCACGATAGCTAGGAAGCGATCTATGCTGATGCACATGAGGAAATAGATGCTGGCATACATGTTGAGGTAGAAGAGGAAGCCTGTGAGCCGGCATGCGATCTCTCCAAATGGCCAGTGGTTGCCTGAAAAGTGGTATACCAGCCGAGTAGGTAAGACCAGCACAAAAGACAGGTCGGCCACGGCAAGATGCATCAGGAAGATGTTTGCTGGGGAGTCTGACTTTTTGTCTCGGATGAAAAGCCAAAGAGCCAAAGCATTGCCAACAAAGGCTAGGATGAAATCCAGAAGGTAGAAAGTAAAGAAAAGGATGTTCTCCGTATGAGTCTCTTTGCCACATTGCTCTGACCTTTCCAGGGAAGCGTTGAAGAACAGGCCTGAAGTGTCTGCTTGACTGTTCATTCCTCACTGCAGGTCTTGAAATGTGAACCTGAAATAACAACAACGATAGCAACAACCACCACAGTAATAATAAAGCATAGAGAAGGCTCTTAAAGTTCAGGAGCCGACATAGAAACCAACCAAACCTACTTGGCCTATTTAAATTTCTAATGAACCCTGGCCAGTCTCCAAAATATCTCATGTGGTGTTCTCCATGCCTAGGAGGGCTTTTCAGCACTCCCCTTCTAAGAAACTTCCCCAGCCCATTTAAAAGCCAGCCCCCAGTACAATTAAGTCCTCCTCTAGAGCAGCATCCCTTAAATCAAGAAGGGTTGCCACCAAAAATAAACACATCTGCCAACATTTATGCATGCATAGAAATACTTTGCATACACAAGCCTTTAATACAGCTAAATGTTATATATTTTTAATCTAAATGTTATATACTGTTTGTTGGAATGTATAGTTTTTCATCCCCTTCCTGGATGCACACCTTAACATGGTGAAGGGGTTTGTCAGTGAAGCTGAAAGCAATGCCATCAGTAGGCCAGACTCCTTTATGAGCATTACTGGCCAAGGTAGATTGGACACAGCTGAAACCCCAGAGTAAGATGCATCTATCCTCTTCAAGACAGCTACTAGGCAGCAGTGGTAGCTGAAGATGACACTGATGGAGGAGGCAGCTGTGATGACAGTCAAGCTGACTTTTGTTAGTACTGTGCAGAAAGTGGCAATGGTAAACTCTTGCTGAACTTTCCATACCATGAGAACCCTATGATGAGACAGACCAAAATGAAACAAGATATAGTGCTGGAAGTTGAGACTCCCACGTTGGAAAGCACTCAATCAGCAAAGAACAAGTATGAATAGCTCTGTCGCTAACAGTTCAACTAGATTAAAGCCTAACGCACATCTCTTGGCTTATGGAACAAGTATGAATAGCTCTGTCGCTAACATTAAAGCCTAAAACACATTTCTTGGCTTATGTGCACCAAAGTGAAAGGGAAGTCTGATGCTGCACAACACATACGTTTGGAACATGGAATGTGAGAAGTGTGAATCAAGGTAAACTGGAAACAGTAAAGTGGAAATGAGACATGCTCATAATCATAAGTGACTAGAACACAAATGTAGGGAACAAAGCAGAACCAAATGCTGTTAGAAAATTTGGTCTAGGGGACAGAAATGAAGTAGGAAAATGATTCATGGAGTTCTGTAAATTCAACAATCTGTTTCTTCGAGTATATGCTTCAAACAACCAAACAGATGGCTTTACATGTGGACTTCACCAGATGGCCAATATGGAAATCAAATAGACTATGTAAATAGATGCAGGAGATGGAGAAGCTGTATTGTCTTTGAACTGTAAATATCCAACGTTAGAGTAAAGCTGAAAAACAACTAAATATCCAACATTAGAGTAAAGCTGAAAACAACTCTAAAAGAATCGGAGTGCCAAAATATAATTTAAACAATGTTCCTGATGACATTAATATCCACAGAAGGAACAGATTTGTATTGCTAAGCTCAATTTACCATGAATCAGAAGAACTGTGGAGTGAAACCATAATTATTATTAGGGAAGAATGAAAAAGACCATTGCTGTTGTAGAAAGAAAAGAAAAATCTAGATGGATGATGGAAGAAACATTTAACATTGTGAAGAATAGTCAAGAAGCAAAAGTAAAAGCTGACAGAAATAGGAGCAGAACCCTGAATGTAGTTTTTAGCAACTGTCATGTAGTGACAAAGAGAACTATTACAATAACCAGTGCAAAGAGATAGAGGAGAACAACAAAAAGGGAAAAACAAGATCTCTCTTCTGGAAGATCCAAGAAATCAAAGGGAAATTCAAGCCTAGATTAGAAATGCTGAATGACCAACAGGAAAGCACATTATCTGACCAGGAGAAAATCAAGAGAATCTGGGAACAGTAAACTGAAGTCCTATATAGAATCATGACAGAGTCTATTGAAGAGGAATCCTATGTTGAAGAACCTGCAATTCTAGAAAGTGAAATGAAAGCTGCTCTGAAGGCACTGGGAAAAAATAAATCACCAGGGGTGGATGGAATACCAATAGAACTATTTCAAGCCACAGAGACTGAATCTATTAAAATCATAACAGGAATATGCCAAATATGAAAAATAAAACAATGGCCCACTGACTGGAAACACTCAATATACAATTCAGTCTCTAAGAAAGAAGATGCTGAGAAGTGCAATAACTATAGGACCATTGCTTGAATTTCCCAAGAAAGCAAAGTGATATTCAAGGTGTTGCAACAAAGGCTTTTGCCTTATATGGAGTGAGAAATGCCTGATGTTCAAGCTTGTTTCTGAAAAAGAAGAGTCACTCAAGATCAAATTGTAAGTGTCTGCTGGCTACTGGAGCACACCAAAGAATTTCAGAAGAAGATCACTCTATCTTTTATATACTACAGCAAAGCCTTTGACTGTGTGGATCACGGGAAACTATCTATTGGTTGTTCTGAAAGAAATGGGTGTGCCTCAGCACTTGGTTGTCATGATGTGTAACCTGTATTGTGGACAAGAAGCTACAGTTAAAACAGAATACAGAAAAACAGAATGGTTTCCTGTAGGCAAAGGTGTCAGACAAGGGTGTATTTTCTTTTTATCCATTCAGTCTGTACACAGAATATATTATATGGAAAGTCAGACTAGATTCAGATGAAGGAGTAGAAATTGGAAGAAGAAATAGTCATAATTTAAGATATGCAAACAATACCATCTTCAGAAAGTAGTGGTGACTTGGAATGACTTAGAGTGAAAGTGGGAGAAAAAAGGGCCAAAGCAGGACTGCAGTTGACTAAAAATCATGACTACAGAAGAAGTACACAACTTTAATCTTGACAGTGAAGAAATTGAAATAGTGAAAGGTTGTTTGTATACCTTGGTTCAGTTCAGTCATCAGTCCAAATGCAGGTTACAGCCAAGAAATCAGAAAAAGATTGAGACTTGGAATGGCAACAATGAAGGAATTGGAAAAAGAGACTTGGAAGGGCAACAATGAAGGAATTGGAAAAAATCATCAAGTGTAAGGATGTTTCACTGGAGACTGAGACCAACATCATCCACACTATTGTATTCCCAGTCAGCATGTATGGGTGTGAAAGTTGAACTGTAAAGAAAGATGGCAGGAAAAAATGATTCATTTGAAATGTTTCTGCAGGAGAGCTTTACAGATACTCCAGAATGTCAGAAAGATGAACAAATAGATCCTAGAGCAAATCAAGCCTGAACTATCTCTGGAGACAAAAACAATGAAACTGAGACTGTCCTACTTTGGGCACAAATAATGAAAAGGGAAGACAATAATGTTGGGAAAGACTGAAGGCAGCAGGAAAGGAGAAAGACCAAATTTGGGATGGACTGGCTCTCTAAAAGAACCTATAAGCTTGGGTTTGCAAGCACTGAGCAGAGCTGTTGAGGACAGGACATTTTGGAGAGTTGCTGTCCAGTATTCTTCGGAAGACCACCTGTTCTCTTCCCCTGGTATATGAAGATTGGGAAAACAGGCTTCTTAAGCATTTTCATGAGACCTGATGAAAAAACACTGAGGCTGTTGTGTCCAGCCCAAAGCCCAAGCCCAAAGATGCAGAAGAGATTAAAGAGAGGAATGAGTTGTGCTGTGTTCATAAATTAAGAACTTTAATACCTAGTGATCTAAGTGAAGGTATCAGTTGGATAGCAGTGAGATCATCAGTCATTTCAAGGTAATAAGTCTGCCTGTGCTCCAAAAATTGTGAGTATTTTATTTTTGTATATTTTGTACACAATATAAATAAAATAATCAGTTCCTCTGGTGGGATATTATGTGAAAAGGAAGACACTGTTGCTAGTGAAAGGCTGAAGCTCCCAGTTGTCTTTAAATGGAACTGCAGAGGTGTTTTGAAAATAAGTGGACCTGTCCAAGAAAGCTCATGTTAAAAGATAACATTTAGTCCTTAAGGCGCCATGGTTTTTTGCCTTTTTATTGATTGATTGATTGATTGATTGATTGTTGTTGTTGTTGTTGTTGTTGTTGTTGTTGTTGTTGTTGCTTGCTGGGTTTTGAGAAGATTATTTATTAATGGCAGCCCAGAGGGGGAGCTAATAAAATCAGTGATAGCCGGTAGTTTGGGGCCATCCAGAACCATAATAAGTTCCTTGTTCTTTAAGCCAGGATAGAAAGCCACTATTATACAGGGGGGTTGCCTGAAAAGCTTGCACAGACTAGCATGGCTGTCTCTTCTAAATCCTGACCATATTTACTGGAGAGTAAATTCTGTTGAATGTAGTGGAACCTATGTTTAATGATATAGTTGCAACTGCAGTCTTAATTCTGTGACATGCCTAGTGGAAAACAATCTAACTGATGCAAGGTATAGTGGGATAAAAGAACAGTTTTCTAATTTTGAAATTGTGAAAGCCAAACATTACTTTTCAGTGTCTTGCAGGATCAGACTTTAGCATGAATTGGAACACCCAGCTCTTTTGCAGTATAATATAGGAAAAAATAACTGTATAATCCAGTCATAGAAAGAATATTCTGAGTTCATAGTACTTTTATTGGATCACTAAAAAATTACAACAAAAGATAAGCTTTTGGATTTTCCATAACTATTAATCAGACAAAGATGGCTTACAATTTGTTAAACAGTCAAAAAAATTGAGTCAGATGTGATGCCCTTTGTTCTTTAAATGAGACTGGCAACAAAGGAATTTAGATGTAATTTATTTTTAACCTAGTGTCATTTCTAAATTTAATCTCATTTTACGTTGATATAATGACTGCCATCTTGTTCCATATTTTTGTGCTCTACACCTACAAAAAATATATATCTGTGCAGCTTATTTGAAGCAACGGTCGTACCTATGGGGATCCAAGCCAGGTATTTAGCAGATGAAGAAGGGAAGATTGTAAAATGGTACATTTGACACCTATGACTCACATGGAGTCTACAAACTCCACCTTGTTTTGTTGGCTTTCTAGTTTCACAAGCAATGGGCACCTCATCTGATCCAATTTTTTGGTTACTTCCTTTTGTTTTCTTTCAATGATTGCCTGATGAAGAGTTCTGGAGAATTTGAAAATGTACTTTGTTTATCAGAGGTACTAATAAGTGTGTGCCGTCAAGTCAGTTCTGACTTGCGGCAATCCTGTCCAGACAGAGTACTCAGAAGTGGTTTACCTTTGCGTTCTAAGGGTATCCTGAGATTGTGCATCTTGGCCAAAGCGACACAGGCTGACTCTTCCGGGAGGCAAGTAGAGAACTGAACTCCCACCCTCTACCTGAGCTGTCCAGCCAGCCCAATAAAGACATTACCCTCTCCAAACATTGCTTATAACACTGTCATTCCTTCATCTGACCACAGAGTGCTCCCTAATACAGTGCTTAGAAAAGACAGAGATTTCCTCCACTCCACTCTGTCCCTTTTCTTTTAAGTCTCTATTCATTTAAATAGGTTTGAACAGGCACTCACTGCTAAATTGTGAGCCCAAATGACTGGATATGCAAACAGGTTGCCTATATTTTTTAAAAAGATACTTTATTATATATTTTAGACTTCCTAGCTATTTGTGTTTTGTCAGAATTATAACAATGTGGCCCTCCTGTTGCACAGCTAATATTTTGGTAACTGACAAAAAAGTCAAGAGAGCAAAGTTAAATGCAATTTACTAATTTTAACTAAGAATTCCATGTAAGTCATTAATTCACGGTGATGAACTTCCAGAATTGCAACATTTCCTTCACTGTGCTCAATCTCTCCTCTCTTTTTTTAAAAGTGAATGTTTGAAGTATAACTGTATAACACTATTACCAGCTAGCCAGGCTACGCATTGTCCATAATCATTCTAGAGAGTCTTCAAGAGCATGGTATCTAGCATTACATTCCTGCTGATTTAAATAGGCTGCCTAATTGTCTTTGTGTTAACACTTAACACAACAGAATAGCCAAAATGGCTGGCACATAGAGGCTGCTCGATATTACTTCTGTACAGGGGCCACTATGTAGCAGTCAAGGAAAGCTGGCTTCTATGGATTAATTCATCTCCTTTGCTGCTTCCAGAGAACAAGTTTCTCAGTAGTGTATCAAAAAATATGGAGGCACAAGTGATTCATATGTTAAACTTATCTGCCTCAACTGCTCTTTGCTGCACGCAGTTTTAAACAGCCTCCTTTGAGCGTGATTTCATGTGCTGTAAACTTTTCAGGAAACAGTTCCTGTCAATACAAGTTATTGAGATGTTCAGAAGCATAATTCCACTCATCATGTCAGTATAAAATGGTGAAACACCTCCAAAGAAGCTCTAAAATTAATCAGTCATTCACAGGTGTATCTGTTAACAGTTGTCTTTTAGAATATATGGTATAAAAATCTTACGCTTTTGTTAAACTATTATCAAAATGTTAACAGGATATCAGTAAATTTTATTGTTGTAAACACTCTGAGTCCATAAATAGGCTGTATGTCAATAAAGAAGAGTTTGCTGCCCCCGTTATGTTAGACCTGGGGTGCTAGATGCAGTAATTGCTGCTTTAGATCCAGACTTGCTGTGTTATTTGAAGCAGAAGTAAGTAATCACTGAAAGACAACTTTGTGCACAACCACTTGAATTGTATACTGTGCACTTAAGTTCATTTTATACCTCTGCTGGTTATGTATATAACATTTTGAATAATTACAGTTTTCACAAGACCTTGATGTGCTACCTGATGTTATATCAGGTATTAGCACTGTAAATAAAAGCAATCTGTTAATGTTTCTATGACATGAGCGACTGTATCTAGATTGCTTTGCAGAGCACATCATCACTGAATTATTATTAGTTTCCTGGGATCTAAGAGTTCTTGGGGAAAGCAGAATAGCTATAAGAACATGTTGTCAGCAAGTGAAATCTCATGCCTGAAAGAGTTTCACAGTTCTGTCCCTCTATTCTTTTGATGGAGAGATGTAAGTTCATTGGAAAAGCCCGAATAGGCCATCACATGCTCCTTTTGTGTAGTTATTTTACTTCCTGACAAGTGGCTAAAAAGTGCATATAAGTATTATTTAGACTATCATGTGCTATGTATAAGAGTTGTTCACAAATGATAGCAGGCCAAAGAAAGATGAAAAGTATAGTGGCTTGTACATTAGCATTATAAACCAATCTAAGTATAAATATATTACATGAAAATGGTTTCACATTGTTCAAAGGCTACCCTTTATAGTTTCCCTCCCTTTAACCTGCAGATTTCAGTAAACCACTTTTTAGTCTAAATGAGAAAATGCTACATTGCCTTGTCAAAAATAAGGAATACAAAATCCCTGCAGAGAATAAGTCCCCCATTGAAACCAAAGCTCTTACCTCTTACTGCTTGTAATCTTACGGATATGGCCAGTAGAAATTCTTGTTGGCTCCTTGTGTTGCCAGTAAATTTAGGAAATTTAGCAAGGCTGAAAACTGCCTGATGGTCCAGAAGGCACAGACAGTGGCAGATTCGTTAGCAGGGGGAGCTGTACTATATAGAGCCCTGTTCCTTACGATAGTCCACTATCATCTTGCTGGCATAGGAGGAGGATAGATAACGCACTTGTTGTGAAAGGCAGTTTTCATTCCAGCTGAGTTCTTGGAAAAGGGAGTAGCTATTGTTGTTATGAATATTCCAATGTTGTTCTGCTCATAAAAGTGTTTCTCTTTTGCTCTGAACTTCTGCCTTTACACTGAGTCTTTGGAGCCTTCTGCCTCTCTTGGAGGACTTGCAGAGAGTTGCCAAAAGGGAGGGGAAATTTGGTGTTACAGACACAACAGGACATTTCAGAAAGAGATAATTCCATAACGGTGGGAGAGGGGGTGAGATGGACGGCTGCCATAGTAACGGCTCTGTGATTCTAAGACCTCCCTTTGCTTGCCGTGGAAAAGGGTCTATAGGATTGTGGAGGGGGGCTTTCTAATAAGCCGGGGCAATAATGGTTTGCCAGTGGAAAGGGTTGAAGGCCCCTTATTCAGTTGAATGAGAAGGGTCTCTTTCTAGGACACTTGCTATAGGGTCTCAGTGTCCTGCCCTGTATAATTAGACTCCATTCCACAGTTTGGAATAAAATTGATGCCTTTCTCTCGAGGGGAACACAGCTGCATGCTTCCATTTATAAAGGCAGGCTGTCTGCTTTCTTTCTAGGGACTGTGGCTCTTGTCTGGGAGCTGCAGGATCTTCAGCTCTAGGGAGGAACAGACGAGAAGACTTGTGAAGAGGCAGTGTTAAGAACATTCCTTTCCACTTATGCTCACTGGGGCTTTCTATGTGGGGATTATACAACTGCAAGGCCACAGAACAGTCCTTTTGCACCGAGATTTATTATTAGCTTCATTTTGCTCCTAAGGACCTAGAGGCTAAAGGACCTCCCTGGGGCTTCTTGTCAATAGGTATTTGCCTTCTTGGATATATCAGCTCTCTTCTGTGTCTGTGCTATCAACTCTGCTTTGAAGAGGGGAGCACATTGACTTATATTGAATTCAGCAATCCAAACTCTTTCATTGGCTGTACAGTAAACCAGACATTTTCAGACAACTTTGGCTTCTTTTTAAAATGTGGATAACAAAACTGCCCTAAGGAGGCAAGAGTAGATGAATCACAATTTTACTTATTGAAGATTAAATTCAATTAAATTCAGCTTGATTTTTGCCAGTTTAGCATTGGTGCCCTTCCTTCATTTAGTCCTAACTGTTCTTGTCCATTGATTGCAAAAGAACATATTTAAAAGTCTGCATTTGAGCTTTTGTGGGAAGAAAGTTCAGAAGGTCTGTAAGTTTAACAGGTGTAGATTATTCCTGTCATTTTTCAGAATGGTACTGTAACTCCTGACATGTCTGTTTCTCTCTAACTGCTCATTAGGCATCTCTGTCGACCTTGCCATAATCGTGAGAAAGCGAAGGGCCTGGGCAAGTATATTTGCCAGAAATGCCACTTGATAATTGATGAGCAGCCCCTGATGTTCAGGAATGACTCCTACCATCCGGATCATTTCAATTGCACTCACTGTGGGTATGTCAAATGTCTTCTAGCTACAACTGAGAGTTCGTGTAAAGACACTGAATGGCCAACTATGCTGATCTTCAGAATAAACTTTTTTGCCATTAAGCAAAATGACAAACGAGTTTGGTATGTGAATGAGTAATCAAAGATCATTCAGATCTGAAAACCAGAGAAATTGCAGTGATTGTGCCAGTTTCTTCTTACTTATTGAATTGTTTAGCTGTTGCTGTTCTGGCTGAGAATGAGCAGCTCTTAAAAGAACTATATGAAATGGCTTTGAGTTACAAAAGTAACTATACTGAAAGTTAGCAGAATAGATGGACACCATAGTTTCAAATGGCTAGTAATGCCTACCATTTCTGGGACAACCTAAGCAGGTTTGAATTCAAGTCACAAAATAATTTCCACTGTATGTCACATCCGTGTTGTTAATCATGAGGAAATGGACATTAAAAGTGGGATATCTCCTGCACCACCACCGGGAACTTTCTGTATCCCTGTTTGGCAATAGTTTAAGAGAGTGCTTGCTTTAATTACACAAAACAGCTAGTTAGCATGTAGAATTGGACGCAAGCTTTGCTCTGAAGGTACTGACTATTTATGTGGCATGCAGGAAGGAGCTGACTGCTGAGGCCCGGGAGCTGAAGGGAGAGCTCTATTGCCTGCCATGTCATGACAAGATGGGCATTCCAATCTGTGGGGCTTGTCGCCGGCCCATCGAGGGTCGAGTGGTGAACGCTTTGGGGAAACAGTGGCATGTGGAGGTGAGCACTTTCTTGCTGTGCAACTTGCCATTGGATTTATCTTTCAGAATGTCTGCCAACAGACTGCTTGCCTGGTTAATAAACAGGTAACAGCCACAGTTCCTTTGAAGTATAGATGCATACCACTGTTTCAGATTATTTATAATTAGAGCCTTGTGGCACAGTGATTAAACTGCCATATGCAGTCAAGACTGCTCATGATCTGAGTTCGATCTTGACACATTCAAGTAGCCAGCTGAAGGTTGACTCAGCCTTCCATCCTTCCAAGGTCAGTAAATTGACTAATCAGCTGACTTGGGGGTGGGCAATGTGTGGCCTGCATAATTAAGTTATAACCCCCCCAGACAGTGTTTTACGTATGGGGCATTATATGAGGAACACATTTTGCTTTATTTTGCTTTGCTTTGTTCTATATTTATTGCTACATCACCCTAAACATTTAGACAATAGGTAATATATAAAATGTTAATGTATGGGGATATTTTCTGCCTGGAAAGGTAAAATATGAAGTTATCAATACCTGTTGGAATTAGTAAAATGGCAGTCTAGTTACCAGAAGCTAATTTTCTTAAAGATTTGCAAAATGCTGCAAAAGTTTTAAAAAGTCTGGCAAGTCTTCCAAGGAAAGGAGCTGCAGCATTCACCCCTTGTTATGCAAAATAAGTCATGTATTATTTAGGTTCTATGCTAATATGTTTGAGAAGCGGAGTCAAAAAGATATGTTAAAAGGCAGAGCCTGAGTCAGTAAAAGGGAGTCAGGGGTCAGAGTCAGAGTGAGAGTTTGGTTAGTCAGAGAGAGAGAGAGAGAGGGAACAGATACAGAGTGATAAGACTGGTTAAGAAAATAGGTAGAGAAGGTGGCAATGATATTGTAAGAGAAAAGTATGTACTAAAAGTACTGTTAACGATTTGCTTGTGTACAATGATTATCTGAAGAACTCAATCTGATTCACTGCAATGAATGAGTTCTGTTTGAATTCACAAGACAAGTGTCCTGACAAGCGTCATTTATATTGTGGATTGAGGTAATCCACTGGTAGCAGCGAGAGGAAAACACGATGTGAGCCTTTGTGAGGGAAAAACACGCAGGTGCCACAAAGGTGAATGCCACAGGAGCCACACACAGATATGAGAATATCTATGTTAAAAAACAACAGCAAGGATGTTAATGCTAACAAGGTACTCATTCTAGGACAGCTGTGTGAAAGCGGTCTTTTTAGCAGAATGCTTTGGGCCTTATAGATTGTAGCCAGTATCTTAAAGTATGACTGAAAACAACCAGAAGCCCCTATAAATACTGGAGCATTGGTGTAACATGTTCCAGTGATTAAAGGCTAAAATTAACTTTCCTATTTTATTGTATAGTCACCTTCTGCATTTTTTGTTTGAATGTGGATTTCAAGATACCACTGCTGAACCTGGGAACTGAAAGTAAAAGGGAATTTTTGAGTTCATTGTCACAAATTCTCCCCAGCCATTGGCAACTTCTCTTGTAAAACAAACAAATGGAAGTCAGTATTTCCAAAATTATAACATAAAAAATATCCAGGCATTGCCAATAGTATAACATAGAAAAGTGGTAGAAAAGTATGATTCTCACAATATTTTCATGCCTTGCTTGATAGTCCAGTATTATTTCTCAGCTTCAGTATTCTATCAGTGTTGTCCCCCTGGAAAGAGTTTGTGTTGTATTAAAGATTTTTTACAGACTAGACTTTACAGTTGGGTTGATCTGGCTTCAAATCAAACACCACATGCCTAGCACAAATTCTCTAACATGTCCTTTAACCTTACAGCATTTTGTCTGTGCCAAATGTGAGAAGCCATTTCTGGGACACCGGCACTATGAGAAAAAAGGGCTGGCTTACTGTGAGACTCATTACAACCAGGTAACGTCTGCTGTCCTTTGCAACATGTACTTCTCTTTCAAAAAAAGAAAAGAATAGATCAGATGCTTTCTATAAAAGAGTGTCTGACAAGTCCCTTGTCTGAATGGAAAAATGTTAAACATCCCAAAAAAAGAAAGGGGAAATTACAGTAATTGTAATAGATGCAGGCTGAAGGATATGGTAGAAAAAACAAGCAGTTTAGAAATATAAATTAAGATGCCTTGAGTAATGTTTAACTATAAGTAATTGTTCTTAAGCTTGAAATTTGAATAGGGCAAAAGAAAACTAGCCAAAACCTTTCTAGCTGGAAATGGGAGTGTTGTCTTAGAAGGCTTTATGTTTTGCTCCCTTGTCTAAAAGCAGGCAGTATTATGAAACAGGAGTGCATTTGCTTTGTCAGTATCCTCTGCTTGTAATAATGTATGTAGTTTAAAAACACTGTAAGTCTCCAGCTTTCTTGCATTTAAAGAAAACTGAATCCAGGCTGGAACTACATCATTGCAATAAACCAGGTAAAGTGTGTTTGACCCCACTAACACACTGGATTTCAGTGTTTTTTTTCTATGTTTTAATCCAGTATATTGTAGTGTAGGCAGGTGTGCACACTGTCATGGTTGGTGTATTGGGAATTTGGCACAACATCACATGATGGTAACCTTGTGCCCTGCCCCCAACCCCCTTTTAATTGATAAGAAAGATGCTTATGCACATTTTCATACTGTATATGTAATTTTAAGTATAGGTTGAAAAAAGAAACCAGTCGTCCACATGTGTGCGCAGAGGGGAAAAAATCAAAGACAAATGGTGGTCAAGGAAGAGCAAGGAGGAGGGAACAGGAGATGAGGAAGGTGCCTGCAGACAACTGGCAGGAAGAAGGGGAAAGTCCTATTCCCCACTTGAAACTGCTCTGTGAACATAAACACCAAAGCAGAAAAGAACTACGGTAGATTGGGCACCATTTTGAACCTTTGTATGCACCACATATAGGACAGAAGTCACTGTGGATTCAAGCCCATTTTTGAAAGGGTTTTTCTGTTGTTTCGGCCCCAGTAGAACTGTGCATCACTTAAGAAGCAGAGAACAGGCAACAATGTGTGTGTGTTTGTTTGTACACAAACACCACACACACACAAACATATATGCACATGTATTGTATCTAAAGCCCACTGAGGAAATTACAAAATGGATGTACAATATATATATAGAGAGAGAGAAACTGATGTGTTTGTGTGTAATCATTCCTAGTACTCAACGTGTGTTATGTGTATGTTCAGAAATTGTTATTAGCAAAGAGTAAGTGGAGGACTAGAGTGGAAAAAACAGTCAGGCGCCATTCCACAAGATGGTTTACACTTCTCTCAGGCAGTTAATTGCAGGCAGCCTCTGAGCCCTGCTTCTTCCTTTTAGTGTATTCTGCCAGAGTAGCCAGCACTTATGTTAACCTTTAATTCTTGAAGAACATGAGCAGAAAAGAAGAAGACTGTGAAAAAGAAGAGGGCTTTAGACATGGCAAGGCATTCTCCTCCTCCTGTAGGGTCCTCAGTCTCTCTGTTACGGATAAACAGATTCTGAGCAAAGAATAACCAATATATTTGAAATTTACAAAACACCAGTATAATATGATCTCACAGGATGCAGCTGAGGTCAAGAATTGAAAATTAGTCTTCAGCAGTTTCAGAATGCAAGTTTTATTCTTGTGCAATTGTGTAAGAAAAGCTATTAAGGGTGCTGAAGTGTGTAATGGTGATTTAGGGGACTGTTGCAGGGGGCACCAGATCAATCCATTATGAGTTTGTTGGGCCTTATTTTGTGAAAGAGGCGTAGACTACCTCCTTTGTTACAGTTCAAAAAATCCTTTCTCTCTTTTTCCCACACACAGCTCTTTGGAGATGTCTGCTATAACTGCAGCCATGTGATTGAGGGGGATGGTAAGTTGGAGGCTGTTTGCCTTTGCAGCTGTTGCAGTCCTGCATATATAAGGCATCTGTGATTCTTTTCACATCTGTCCTCATTGAGTTTTGTACAAGTCTACAATTTGATTATATTGAATTTGATACAAGAAGCCTATGACCTGACAATCCTTTTCTATGGTATTCTTCACTAGTTGTATCAGCTCTCAACAAGGCTTGGTGTGTGAACTGCTTCTCTTGCTCTACCTGCAACATCAAGCTCACACTGAAGTAAGTGGCAGATTTAAACTTGTTCTGAACCCGGTGGCCATCAGCCTGGCTCAGATTTGGGGTGGGAGTGATGGGATCTGCTACCGGGGCTATATGTGAAGAGGAAGAAAAACTCCTCTTAGCTAGTGAAAATGTATATACCAGCATAATATGTAAGTAAATAAGTGTCATTCAGTGCAGCTTAAAGGTACAAGGCTATGTCTGCACCAGAAAAAATGCAAATTAAACCATTTCTGTTGGGTGCAAGTACTAGCAGCCTGTGATCTGAGCAATGAGGATTGCCTCACCCCAACTCTGTAGTAAAAGGTGCCCTTGCTGCTTGGACTATGGACTGCTGGCATGGTATGGTAAATCACATTAGCCCTCCTTGCCTTGAAATATCCCTGTGCTTCTCCTACAACAGGAACACAATAATTGTTTTTTTGATAAAAACCACAGTCATGCCATGCAGTAGGGAAGAGGGCCTGTTCAAAAGATCAGATTGTCATTTCAACCAGACATTTCAGACAGTAGGGTGAGGTATCTCCTTGTATGGAGAACATACCAACAGAAGTTTCATCCTACTGTGACAATTGGCTTGCTGGAACACCTAATCTCAACTACATCTGCTCGTGTATTAGCGCCCCAGCTTGCTGTTTCACTTTGCACCCTTAGTTGTGAACCAGGACATTCATGTGGCTTTCTGAATGAAAAGTAAGAGCTCTTTATTTCTTTGAAAGGAATAAGTTTGTGGAGTTTGACATGAAGCCAGTGTGTAAGAAATGCTATGAGAAATTCCCCTTGGAGCTGAAGAAGCGCCTGAAGAAGCTGTCTGAGTTGGCTTCAAAGAAAACTCACCCCAAAGCTCTGGATCTGAACTCTTCTTAAACAGGTTTATGCTTTCCACAGATATCACTCATGCTCACCAACAGCAATATGCTTTAGCTGGAAATCATTTAACAATAGCTCAATGGACTCAAGATAAACAAAAGCTCACCAGTTGTATTTTGCACCTAGAATGTTTTTCTGCTCAGGTATAATATTACAGAGCTTGACCTCCAGAAGAAAGCCATAGTGAACTGTTCCTCCCCGACCCCCCATTACAAAGAAAAATCTGTGTTATTCACTACTCTTTACTAGGACTCAGGTTCCTACTATATCACTCCCAGAATTCTGTCCAGTGTCCTAAATGTGGCATGGAAAGGCAGTTGTGGGACCAAAGTGCAAGCCCTCACACACTCTGGCAGGCTTCTGGCCACGGGACCAGTTGACTGGCCCATCTTGCCACCAGTGTGAGAACAAGCACATATCAAAGAATCTCCCAGAGCAGAGACATGGTACATTTACACAATTGCCTTTTCACTTGAGGCTTAGGCAGTAGGACATTGGCCTCTATGGGGTTTTTCCCCTCAGCATTTTAAAACCCAGATCAGCAAGCTGCAAGTGAGGAAGTTGGGAAAAAGTACAGTACTTCACCCTGTTCCTCCATTCATAAGGTAGGAATAACAGAGATAGCAGTGTTTATCCCTCACTATAGCCCTCCCCTCAGCCTGTCACCTCCAATAGGCTTATTTTTTTTTCTTTTGAAACTCATAGTGTGTCAGGTGCCGAGGGGTGGTGGTGCAGTGCCCTGGACATGGGGAAGAGGTTGCCAGAAGTGAGAGACAAGGGAAGTGTTAAGCACTGACCCCTGGCGGTTCCTTACCGTGTTTCCTCTCCAACCCCTACATTAATATGATGAGGCAAACATGGATTTGCAAACTCTTTGTTTGCTTCATAAATTGTTCATCTGACCTAAATAGCATCAGTTTTGTCAAATTTACCATAGTATTTGTCTTCACATGATGAGTAGTTACAGAGGAAAGACTAATACAGAATAAGATGTCATTTTGTTATTATTGCTACAGAACAGAAAAACATGAATTTGTCTTAATGCATTTTTACTGCAGTAATCACTTGTGCACTTGCTTCTGTTGTGATAAGAGAAATCACTTTTTCCAGAACTAATCCTAACAGAGCCTTATTTATCTGCCAGTTAGTATTTACCAACACTTTTATGTTTTCATATCTAATAGCACAAAAATATTGTTGCTTTTTAAGGGAAAGTCCTGAACCTATAAAGAGAGATTTACAGTATTTCACAAGAATAAGCTTATTTTAAAGTCAAGGACAAGTACAGTAAACATATCCTATCAGTATTATCCAGAGCCCAGATGAAAACAGTGCACTGCCATACTGTATTCATTTAAATAGAATAAACACCTATGGTGACACAGCGACTCTTGTCACTGTAAGTGTTATTGACTGTGTCACTGTAGGTGAGGGAGCTGTGTGAGCAGCGCAGCGACTTTTTGTGAAGGCACCGATGACTCTAGCACTTTGTGCCTCTGAAGGAATAAGGCACAAAAGCAGTGGGACAGATGCTAAAGCAGAACTGTGCTCTTATCATCCTGCCCTGAAAAATGAACTCTATCTAGTACCCATTATTTCGATCACTTGTACCAATACAATGCAAATATATTTACATGTGGCTCATGGTGCTTAAATGGGGATGTGGATGAACATGTAAATGTGCATTCCTTAGTAAATAGTGGAGCATAGATGATGCACAATTCATGATACGGGAAGTGATAATAAATCAATTTCAAATTTCAAGGCACTTAATTCTATGTGATTTAACAATTTTAATATGACATTTCATAGAAATCTAGATTTGTGTTAGTCTGCTACCTGTATATGAATATATAAACACTGGGTGCCATATCAGATATATTGCTAGGCCTGCTGTAATTCAAAGAACTCAGGTATGTAATTTCCAAATACCAGTTTTGCCTGTACAGCTGTTCCTTTAAAAATACAGTTTGCTTTTAATGACAGTGTCCTTGTTTAGTGGGGACAGATTTGAAATGCCATCCCTCCTATGAACCTCTGAGGCAAGTAATCGCTATAGTACTAGTCTCTAGAGTTTTCTAATATGAAGTAGTTGCTTTCTGCTTGAAAATTTATTTTATGGTGCATAGTTTATCATGATGCACTTTAATCCATTCTTCCAATTTCAGACTCTATTGAGAAAGAAACAAATTTCATTTACTGGGGAACTATTTTGCTTCCTTGTCTTTTCTCTTCAGCAGATGGAAAATGACTTTCAGGGACCATTTGGTGTAATGCTTGGTAGAGTTGAGCCAAACTGAAGGTTATGTTTTGTGAACATCTTTTTGCCCCTTGAAAAACGTCTCTGTTTTTGGCTCAGAAGGGTGAAAATTATGAGGGCAAATGGGAAGAAGGCACATCTATAGGGAAGCTGCAATATAGAAGCACTGCTATACATGATCTTTATTGTAATGCATACAAAAAAACGACTGTTCTATTTATGTGAACATTGGAATGACCAGTTCAGTATAACTGCTGATGTGCCTATAGCTTGACTGGGTCTTCAGAGTGAGAGCAGTGTAGCTTCATTTTCCCTCACTGATGTTAGCACACAGTCAGATCTTACAGGCTTTGTGAGGTACTCCCTGAGTGGCTGGACTCACCTGATGTAGCCTTAAGAAGCAGCTGCCTTGTTAACGTTTTTAAAATGGCACTAAATCAAGTATGTATATGTTAAGGAAACCACTGTGGACAAGCAAGAAGACTGTTGTACAAAAGTGAAATTAGGAGTTTGAGGTAGGGACTGCTTTGTTTGGAAGCACACGTTTTCACCCCAGAAGTAGCTTCACTGATGTGTGTGTGACAATGGCATTTGTTCTGTTAGAGGCAGTCTTTAAAATATCAAAAGTATGGGCAAATGGCACATCAAATGTATATTACATATGGCTTGAATTGCACTGCTGATAAATTCTTGCTTGCTTTATATTGATGTATCTATTTTTTTATATGAACACATTTTAAGCATATGTATTCCATGTCTCATGGATTATTTCTGAAGAAATTGAATACTTTTAGGAGATACAGTATTAACATTAAATGAATAGGTTCTAACACTATCAACAAACTTGCACTCTCCAGTGGTAGGATGATGGAGTTGGCAAACATTTAGCAAGGGACAGAGTTCAGTTGAAATTGGCCATGTAAACTGCAAATGTTGGGACACACTGGGAGTTACTGTGCAATCCTATGCATGTTTACTCAGAAGTAAGTCTCAGTTATTTCAGGATGGTAACTGATGATTTAATGTTGTTTGTTATATTGTATTCATTGATTGTCCTATGATGTAAACCGCCCAGTGTTTTGCCTAACACTTATTGGGCAAATAAACTTATTTGAAACAAATAAACAAATAAAAATAGGTGTCTAATCTTGGCATGTTTACTGGGTTCAGCGGCGCTCTCTGCTCAGGATTCTGCCCAGTGTTTTGCCTAACACTTATTGGGCAGTATACAAGCTTTTGAAACAAATAAACAAATAAATAAATAAAAATAGGTGTGTAATCTTGACATGTTTACTGGGTTCAGCGGCACTCTCTGCTCAGGATTCTAAGATTGTGGTCTTAATTGGTTATATAGAAAATGCTCGTGAGTGGCTTTGATGTGCAAAGGATTGAAGGTATTGCCTTATTTTGTACACAATCACAATTAATCAGCAACATGTGGTGTCAAACATTTTCAGGACCTATATAGTTTTCTGGCAGTGTTTTGCCTTGAAATCTTGTGCTAGCTCTAGCAAAAGGGTAGCTCCTTTTTGATTAAAATACTGATTTCTCCAATATATAAATGTCTATTTTAAACTTTTGCAGTAAACATTAAAAAGGTGCAAATGTTACACTGTTTTTAATGTGACTGTTGTTTGTGCCTTTGCAGCTACTATGATATCTTTCCCCTGAAACACCTGGAGTGGATACATGTTGTCATTCATGGGGCTGTTTCAGCCTTAGTTCATTCAAGAGCCATAACCTCCCCACCGCAAGTTGCTCCTAAATCTTTAACAGCTATAAGAATTCATTTGGTGCAAGATGTCTGATTTATATAATGGTGTGGTGTTGTCATTGTGCAGTGTGGCATCTGTTATCTTGATTTTTAGGTAAGACAGTGCCTTGTAACCGTGAGATAACACTTGTGAATGATTAGTTTGTAATCTAATCCCCAAAGCGCTGTCTGAAGGACAGTCTCCTAATTCATAGGTTTATAACCTTACATTCTAGTGGAGATGCTGCTTCTGTTTATGTGTTTGTCTTCTGCAGTGTAACAAGAGTTGTTTAAGCTAACACAATATTAAGTGATAAAACAGGAATGTGGCAGATTGTTCAAGAATTTATTACAATGGTGCCCTGCTTGACGATGATAATCCGTTCCAGCGAAATCGCTGTAGAGTGAAATCGTCGTCAAGCGAAAGTAAAAAACCCATTAGAATGCATTAAAACTGGTTAATGCGTTCTAATGGGGGAAATACCTCATCGTCCAGCGAAGATCCTCCATAGGGTGGCCATTTTCCAGTGCCTATAAAGTGAGGAATCCGTCCTAAACACAGCGAAGAGCCGTTTTGCGACGCGCCAATCAGCCGTTTTAAAACCATTGTTAAGCAAAAAATCAGTTCCCGAAGCAGGGAACCGATCATTGTTAAGTGAAAAAACCCCTTTGAATCATCGTTTTGGGATTGCAATAGTGATAGAAAAAAGCTCATCGCAAAGCAGATTCATCGTCAAGCGGGGTAATCGTCAAGCGGGGCACCACTGTACTTTACTACTTGGTTTAATGCAGTACACATTTCTGGAACACCACTCCCATTGCTCTGCAATTTTGTTTAAAAAGTGGAAACAAATTTGCTACTACCATGAACAGAAAACAAATATACAAAACATTGTTATTTAAAATATGGAACTCAGTTTATATTAAGAATTCAGAAATGCAAGCTAATCCTCACCATCATGGTCCCAGCTAATGTCAGAGCATCCACTGCCAGCAATGGACACCTAGATGTGAATTGTTGGGGAATATCTTTGCTAAAGGGCAAGTATTTTTGAAGAGTGTGGCACACACTGGCTTCACAGAGAGAGTGATATTCACATTATACATGCACAGAAGGAAAGCCTATTTGCAAAATAGTTCAGTTTCATCTAGGTTCAGAAGAAACTACTGTGATTACTTTTGGCAATAACAGGCAGAAACTGTTACTGTTGGGAAAAAATGCCTCAAGGAGCTTAGTATAAATTCACCACAACATATATAAAGTTATTATTTAAGAAGAACAAATTTGATATTTCCTTTCATAGAAAAGATATTTCGGTATCGTCCTACCTTTCCAATTTACTGAACACTTTTTGGAGCCAGAGATGAGCGACAGGGCTGTGTTATGGATTCTAAATTCAGTTTTAGCACTGAAATTATGACACAGCAAATCCTATAACTTTTTTTTTCAAAAGCAGATCCACAATGCCCAGTGGGATTTACTCCATGATAAGTGTGCTGAGGGGTTGCAGATCAAACATCAAAATATATTAAAAGTATGACAGTTGTATAAACACAATTGCTTTGTGGCTTTGAAATCCAATTGTGTTTTTTATATTATCTCTACAGTTTCCAGGGTGTAAAGAATGTGCATAGAAGCATGTTTTGTATACTTAAGCTAGGCAGTGTTCACAGAGCAGTAGCTCTTGTTCCTGGAGGTGCTGCTTCCTGTTGTTGTAATTTCTCTGTGCTTAAAGAGGCAATATATTGCATTGGTCTGGGTGGATGGCTGGGCCAGAGTGAGACCGTGATTCATTCCTTTCTTTTCCTATAGGGAAGGGAGGATAACATAATCTAGTACAGAGTGTGATTCTAGGGAAGGAGGTTGTAATGACTCAAAGAAAAATGAGATAACGTTTTGGAACAAAATGCAGCTAGGTTGAAATACCAGAACTTGTACACTGAGCCAGAAATGGTTGCATAGTAGTTAGCATGAACCCAAGTCAGCCTCTGCCAGAGCAACACTACACTCATAAGTGACTCCTCTGAGATTAAGATGAGAGTCACAGTTTAAAAAATGAATTTCTTCAAGATACCAAGTAGTTTCAGCTGCAAAGGATGAGCTATTCCTGTCCTCAAGCAGGGTGCTGGGTATTCTTCTGTCGGTTTACAGCATTCATGAAGAGATGCACATATGATGTCAACAAATCATCCATTTTGTATCCCTTGAGAGAGAAAAAAAGACAGTTAACCCTTTCTCAAAGAAAGAGTTGCAAAAGCATGAGCCTGTTTATTAGAGGGTGGAACATTTCTCAATAGTACAGGAAGACCACAATATCTGCGGGGATCGGTTCTAAGCCCCATGGCAGATACCAATTAATAGCGGATAAATGAAGCACTTCTAGTTTCTTTGGTATGCATGCATGGTTGAAAGAGGGAGCCCTGGCCCATTCATGCCAAAGGACTGGGTTTCCTGCCCTCCTGTTCACAAGGGAGGCTTTCCCGAAAGCAGCAACTGCCCACAAATGCAGCTTTTCCATTTCACCAGAAGCTGCTTCCCTCTGAGATCTCAGGCCACCGAGTGCATTTCCATTTAGTCACCTGTGTATAGCATAGTCTCTGGTTCCTTCTAGTGTCCAGTCTTGGTAATACACCTTGAGACCATGTATTTCTGGCTTTTATTTATTTTATTATTTTATTTTTTTCAGGCACAGTATAAGTGAAACCATAGGTACTGACCCTTTGGATATGGCGGTCCTACTGTGTTGGTGATGAGACTGAAACATTTTAACCCATATACCCTTTGTTAAATTAAGTAACATATGCCCTCCTAACTTCCTAAAATCATAGATCACATATTGACCAGAGAGCACAATTCACAGGTCATCTTCAATCCACATCAATAGCAATTGTGTTCTTTCCCCTTTAAACATACACACATGCTTGAGGGAGACAATAAGGCAATACAATCTCTAAGAAAAAAAGAATTATCTAAGTCACTGGTCCCCAACCTTTTCCCAGCTGCGGACCAGTTGGGGGGGCATGTCCCCCTTGCAGGAGGCATGTCACACTCATAGGTCCCCAACCTTTTCCCAACTGCAGATCGGTTGGGGGGGCATGTCACCCTTGCAGGAGGCATGTCACACTCATTTGCATGGGGGAAGTGTCATGCTCACAGGGGGCATGTTGTGCATGCATGGATTGCACTTGCGGGATGGAGTAGGAGATCTGTATCCATGGCCTAGTCCTGCCTAGGCTGGGGACTGCTGCTGGGGACCCCTGATCCAAGTAGCATACAATCAATACAGAGGAGTTATTATTGCAGGTGGAACATGTTTACTGATAAACACATTCCTCAATATTCCGAAGACAGACAAAATTAACTGGGTTTTATTCCTTAACTATGGGGTAAAGAAGATGTAATTTTATTGCTTTTTTTCAACAAGTCAGCTGAGGCATTCACAAACCAGTCACAAAGAATGGCAAGGTCAGGCCCAAGGACACGGACAGAGGGAGGAAGCAACACTTGACTCAGTGCATTCCTAGCTGGTTACCACTTCTCCACAGAGATCTACATGTTTGCAGCTGTATTTCAACTACCATATGTCATGCAAAATGTTGTTGAAATGAATCTGAATTCAGGTCATAATAAGTCAAAAATTATTATCACCACAAAGCAATCTTTTAAATGTCTAAACCTGAGTCTCAGATCAATTCGCTTACAGAAAGACAAGAAAGGTTATACCAGTAATGACCAGACCCTTTCCCCTCTTCAGTCTTTAGTGAAACTGATGAATTCATAAACTTTCCTTACCAGAGATGTCTCGCAAAGGATTCGACTACCTCGTACCAGGTTCCCTATGGTCATGTGGAAGTATGTGCTGCCACTGTTCCAGTTGGAGATTTTATTGAAGGGGTAAACTGTTAAGATCTCCTGCAGATGACAAACAGTGCTACATGTTACTTTTGTTAAAATTAAGTGTTTGATATTTTTGTGGAAGGGGGAGATTTGTAGTTCTACAGAGACTTCAAGTTGTGGATTTCCAGGAGCCAGTTCAGTGTTTGTGTTTCCTCATTTCATGCTCCCTGTCAACTTCAGCTGGTTTGAAATAAATTTGTATTTATGGAAGGCTGTCTACGACTTTCCCAGGTCAGGGTATTTCCATCTTGGAATATTTGCCCTCATAACCTTTTTTTATGAGTTAGCAGTAAATTTCCTGTTTATTTATAGTCTGGCAACATATCATGAAAACCCTTGGAAGCAAGTGCCACATAACCATCCTAATTCAGGAAGGAGTGTCTCCTTCCTAACTACACCTCTTTGTAGCATTTTTTTCACCTTCCTAGTCTTTTGAAGCAGCAAGGAAAGCAACCACACGAAATGGCTTACGATGGAACACTCTTTTGGCCAGTATATATACCTGTCAAATACCAAGAAAAAGAAGATTCTTACCTTTGTCTTTGGATGTATTACAGAGACTCCTTGTTTGTTGATAGCAATCAACACAATGTCAGGGAAGTTTGGCTCTGAGGTTTGCTAACAAAGAGAAACAAAAAAATGGTGTTTGTTAATAAAGAGCTGCTTCTGATCACTGAGAATTTCATTGTTTACTACCTGTCACTTTCATCATACTAGTATAGGAATCATAGTGATGACCTTCACTCCATATATATATAGTCACACAGAGACATTAGATGCCAGTGCAAGACTTACTCTTTTAGTTTAAATCTGGGAAACCTTTGGCTTGCCAAATGTTTTGGCCTACATTGCCCAGAATCCATGTTGGCCATCCTGACCCAGGCTTTTGAGAGCTGGAATCCAAAAGAGCTGAAAGATGAAAGACTTCCCATCCCTGTAGTAGTTACCATTTGTGATGCCATACAAACATGCAAAGTTCTGCCAGGCACTAATGTTCACATAAGACATGGTTGGGTCTGAATCCTGGCCCTCACAGGAAACATGGTATCTGAACTGATCATGAAAATGTGCTCTCAGTAAATCACACAATTTGAAATAAGCATAAGAAAAATAGAAGAGGCTTCTGTTCTGCAGAAAGGGGCCTTCCACATCATGGTATCCAAAACATGGAAACAACAAAACTTACCTTCACTTCGAAGAAGGCAGAACCAAATGTTGGCCAATGATATATGAACTTCAAGAAGGCAATCTTGGCCTCATCCACAGTTTTCTGCTCATGTTTGTTGGAGGCAGAAATAATACCCTGTGTAACACATACACATATGTGTGGATCAAAATTGTTGTCGAGGTATTCCTAGCAAGAGCTGGTCTCACAGATTTGTCTATGGTCAGGGGGTAAGTTAAATGCTTCCAGTGGCACAGGCTATTTTGTTTTGGTAACCTCCTGTCATAAGAGTAAACAAAATGATCCCGTTTCATTATCAGAGTGAATAGTAGGAATCTGAAACTGGTAGAAACCATGCCCTGCAACATATTCCAGGCAAAAATACAAATAAAGTACATACAATATAGTATCTGCCATTTTAAAACAACAGTGTTAATTATTGCAGAGGTCAGTAGGAAGATTCATGGACAAAACCACTGCCTGGGAGAGTGTCTTCATACCCGTTTCCATTCCTCTGCAGATGCTGTTCGGATTATGTTCTCAGGCACTAGTTCCTTTAGTATTTTGGGAATGGCTGCATGTTGCATTCGATCATTGTTGAACTGAACTTTGAATATCAGCCCAGCTAACTGGATGGCATCTTCTTTTGAGCACTTATGATAGCCTCTAAGATACTTTGGCAATTCCTGTAAAAGTACAATTGATGAAAACTATTCAGCATGTTGATTTATTGGTCCTTTGTCTAGCATGTATGGAGAACTTGAAGAACTAGTTATTCTTCACGTCTCGAGTAAAAGTTCATAGACAGAAAATTTAAACAGATATCTAACTAGCCAAAAGCTACATATGTCCACAGGAAATTGAGGTTTGTGTCAGAAAATAATAATGTACATTTGTTTATCTTTTACACTTCCATAACAGTAAGTATGTAAGAGTGGTAAAAGTCATGAACATTTGAAATGAAAATGGCTGAAGATGTGGAATAGATTGCAGGCTTATTCAGACAGTATTAAAAACAACAACAAAAAACCCCACCAACCTACATAAAGCCTGTGATACTTGATTTCATCAGACAGTATCATCTATTTTGATCTATGCATATTGTACTATTTGTGCTATTGTGCTGGAACTATCCTTCACATTTGGTAGTAGCAATTAATACTCAGCTATGATTTGTAGAACTTTCACGGTTCTTATTATCATCAGTGGCACATGCCAAGCTCAGTCCTGTTACCTGATGGTAGTGAAAGATGCAGTCAGCCTTCAAGTCCTTCCCTGGAATCACATTTAACCATAATTTTCTCATGAAAAATATCTGGTAATTCACAGTAACAGGAACCACTAGAAAAGCACAGAGAGAGATATTTAAAAAGGGAAGTCTAGCTGTTTCTAGTCTTCCTCCACCTTCCCCAGACATGCACACAGAGACAAAGATTAATTGCACTTGCTGTATTTTATATTTGATAACTAAATCACTTCGATTCGTATCTACTTTTCTTTAAACACACACCTTAACTGCTCCTTTGACTGATATATCAAAAAGTTAAAAGAGGGATCCCAATTCTGCACACGAAAGGAAGTACCCTTTGAGAGTGAATCTTGGGGACCTCACAGCCGTTTCCTTGTTATTTCTGGAAATAACAAGGAATGGCTTGTTAGCATTAATGGCTGCAGACAGCACCACCTACAACACAACATGGACTCAACACCAACCATGTGGATTCTTCACATCAGCCAGATGTGACTACAAACTGAAGAAACATCTTATGTTCACCAGGTAAAAACATTATTTGGACTTTAATTTGGCACAATTGGCTATTTCCACCTGGTGAATAAGGCAATTTATAAGCCCTAAATTTTATGTCTTTGGCCTGATTTCCCACCTGCATGGCCAAAAAGAAATCAAAGAGTAATTGGCAATCTTTTGGTCCTAAAAGAGGGGTGTAAAAATTCTAAACCATGCTGCAAGGATGCTTGAGACAGTAGAGGATTGACATAAACTCTCACAGATATGTACCAACAATTTTTGGCCTCTTGTCTATGATTTTTCTGCACTACAAAGGAGCTGTGCTAAGCATGAAGAAGGGAAATGTTCTTCACAAAAGCTTGCCATTTGATTTTTTTAGCGGTCCGATAAAAAGCATCACCCACTCTTTCTTTTGAGAGTGCTGTTTTTCTAAAGAAATCCAGTAGTCAACAAATCCATGCAGACTTACTCCATTATTTCTATATAAGTTTTTGCCCAGTAGTCACAGACAACAGATCAGCAAACAAGGATAAGCTATTATTCTAGTGGTTCACCTATGTAATTCCCATGAATAAAATATGAACGCTCAAGCAGTGACTGGTTAAACTCAACATACAGCAGTTCATCCATCCACTTCCATACCTTCTTTGGTTGGCCTGTTTTTCCGTGTCCAGTCAGTCACCTGTCTCAAGGAGTCAAAAAAGTAATCTGCCTCATTCTGGCTGATCACCTGTAAGAGACAGATTAACAGAGGTCGAACTAGTACAGAGAATCATTGCTACTATTCCCGCCGTAGTAATAGCAACTTTAAGAAGCATTGTCTAAGGAACTAGACCCACAGGATGCTGGTATGGCTTGTGTGTTATAACATGAATAATCCAGAGCAGGTATAAACATATATTCAGCAAATACTAGATTATTTTTTAAAAAATCTTCTTGCCTAATTTGGACCAACTGCATACTATGACACAGAGCTCATAGAGGAGATGTGACCACAAGCACCCATAAAAACTTCAGGTGTAGCCTTTACGCAAAATTACCTTGTCAGCAATCTTGACAAAGAGGCTGAATCCTTCCGAGGAACTCAGTTCCATTTTGCTGGCAATACTCTGGCACAGAGACCGCACTTTTGTGTTTGTTCCCACCTCGAACACCTGGAGCAAAACAGCAGGGGACAAAGTGAGCAGAAAGGGGATGGAGTACAATTGGATGATGCCCGGTATGCTAGGAGAGGGGTGTCTACTGCTTCAATTATGAGCCACAGGAGAAAATGAGCAAACTGGGGGGAGTCCATATGGAGAGGCAGCATCTCTGTGTAACTGGAGATGACTGCAGACAGCTGGAGAGAACGGTCACCTCCTGTCCCTGGGCTTTCATCAGAGGCACCTGGTTTCAAGAGAACATTGGTCTTTTCCAGCAATTCAGCTCCCCTCCAAAGAAAACAGGCTTTTTTGTTAGCCATGATGACAGCAATGCCACATTTCAAAAGAACAGGCATGTGAATTTGCTTACTTTCCTCTTTCCTTCCCAGCCCTTTTACATTTTATAGTATCTTATTACATTTTCCACGGTTGTACAATATGAAGAACAATCTCGTCAGTATTTTTAATAGTCTCACCTGCTCTGTATCATTGGGAAAGTGAACCTTATGAGAGATCTTTGTGATATTCTTCTGGATTGCCTCCACTTCCACACTATGTGGAGCCCACTTCCGACAGCCACTCCTAGAAAAGAGCAATTCAGATGGACCTCACAAAGGTGGGCATTTGCAAAGGCAGAGAAGGGAGGAGCTAGGTGCTCCCCTGCTTACAGTGGGAGAGAAACAGTAAGAAATGCCTGAATAGGCCTATAGTATTACTGGTGATCACAGACAGACAGAGAGGGGGAACAAGGACACCTTTCTAGAAAGAAGATGCTACAAAATCTTGTCACTATTTACAGACATGGTCAAACTACACCTGGTATTACTGGCATTCTGTCAGGTGGGAGAGGACATTTTTCACAGCACCCACAGTAAGGAGAGGAGGCTTAACTCTTTTTGACTTCTCAGCAGCCAACGTAACAAAAAACAGAGAAAGTCTATACATAGTAATATATGTTTGTTTGTTTTTTAAAAAGGCATTGTTGCTAGCTATGCATCTGATGGCCTTTTTGGTCCAGAGACTGAAAAGAAAAAGAGAAACTAACAAGAGTGAATCATACCCATTACAAGTCAGAACTTCTGAGGTGAAATACAAGTTGCAACCTGGAATGAGGACCCCCTAATTCGGTCTCCTCAGGAAAGAAGGGTTTCTGCTATTACCTGGGTAATGAAAAATAGCCACAACAAAGAACTGACAAAGCCTTCATACCTCATCACCCTTTCAATCCTACGTCTGCAGTCCAAAGCCAGGCTCTCTTTCTGACGGGTCTCCATGAACTTCTGAGCATGTTTCAGCAATGATTTACTCGGTGGGAAAAGGCCTGTGCAGAGCCATAGCAACTGCCAACCACTGTTCACACTGTACCTGTCATTTTGACAAATAATTTCATAATCTTGAATGTAAGCAATAACATACGTAAAATGTTCTTCAACTCAACAGACTTAGGACTCTCTCAGCCTGTGTGATCTGAGATCTGGCTGTTGATAATAGAAACAAAGGGCCAGGATCAAAAAGTGTCATTATGGTGCCACAGACCCTGCTTGTATGAGCAGCTTAGCTTTTTGGAAGCTTGCACAAAGAGATGCCCAACCGCTTCTTAAGAAGCCATCATCTGTTTTGCCAGCCACAGCTCCCTCCCCAACCCAAGCTATGACGGCCATTGCCTTTTCAGATTCTAGAAACAGCCCAGCCCTATTCTGGCTGATGCTGGGACCTCTGCTCCTTCAAAAGCATGAGTAAGTACACTTGCTCAGCTTTCCACACCCAAAGTATTATGTAGCATTACATGCTGATCTTGGCCAAGGTTTCTGCTGTCAGCAAGCTCTGGGATTCACTATGGAGCCTCTGGAATCTAGCTGCCTCTGAAGCGCTGACAGACCAATAAGCTCTGGAAATGTTTTGCCCAGATACCTGTTGCTGTTGTCTGTCAGCTGTTTCATGATCTGACAGTAGATCTCATCACGCAGAACTTCCTCCTGGATGGCTGCTACAAATATCTGGTCAGTGAGCTCCACCAGGGATCTCTCCTGCTTTGAGGGATAGTCCCCCATGTATCTCATGATAGGTGAACAAACAGATAAGGAAAGATTCATGGGGATTACATGCACTTATAAAAACAATTTAGAGCTAATTTGGAAAGCATCATATCCCTCCATTTTTAGAGAATCCCTCTACTAACTGAGCTCTTCAGTGGCAGATAGATGGTATAATTAAGACCATACTGGAAAGCAAGGACAGGCATTGCTTTTCATGACTTCTTGCTTCTTTCCAAGATGTCTTACTTATCATCATTTCACTTTCCCTATCATATTACCATTCATCACTAGATACTGAGTTGGTTCATAAATTGACCTCTCGGATTATTCAGTGACCAGAATTCTGTTGCTTATTGTCATAAATTGCTCTAGATTAGGCCAAGTGAATCAAAAGAAATTTAGTGAGTCAACTCTGTAAATTCTCTCAATTCAGTTAGGCTACTCTACTGCATCTTACTACACTAAGCAACAGGATTTTGGCCAATGTTGCCAACTAGACTGATAAATTGTCTGCAGGTGACTCTCCATGTCACCAAATTCTCAATCTTCTACATCCAAATAAAGCAAACCATCTCAGAACTGTTACCAAGATATGCTACATGTAACCTCCACCGCCTCCTCGTTCATGATTTGCAAATAATATTCCTGTGTCTGGAAAAGTATCCTGTAAGTTTCTCCTGGGAAAACCATTCACTTCTGTCCCTTAAAAAATAAATTATCCTCAGCATAAAGGATATCTATAAAGGCCTGGCAAGCACATTCCCACAGGTCTAGGTTGCTCCACACTTTTTTCAGTAAGGGCTGCTTGAGGGGTTCCCGCGCGTGAGCCCACAGGTGACCACGCCCACGGGACTTGTGCAAGACAGCCTTGCTGATGGACTCCTTTTCAGGCACTCTGCATAAAAGACAAAACAGAAAAACATTGTCTCAGACTACTGCCCCACCGTATCTGCCATTCTGACCAATGCTTATCTGCATAATTAAGGCATCTTAAAGCCACATTTTAGCAAAGATAAACCACTGTCAAAAGAAAAATGAGGGCCATTCAGACAAATCCCATCAGGTTTCCTCAAGATGGTGAATTCAGTTGAGCAACAAGGTCCAGAAATTAAATAAAAAGTCTTGAAAAGGATTGTCAGCAATGGGCATTTGGATAAGCAAACTAAGCAGAAAATGGCCATATCATCCAAGCACAGCCATAACTAGTCAATCTGGTCCACTTCCCTGCCTGCTCCTACTACCTTGCAAGAGTATTGCACCATCCATGGCCATCCCTTTATTTTTCTAACAACTAGACATTATCTTAATAAAGAATCAAGCAGGCTGGAAGACCAGCAGCTCTCAGATGGAGTCCAAACTATGGAGCCTCAAAGGAACTGAGGTGTCTGAAGGTGACTGACTGCCACTGCTTCTTCTACTAGGTCTTTGGGAGGAGGGACCTCTCTTTCTTTCTCTGTCAAACTTGCAAGATGCTGTGCAACCATCAGCCAGCAATGTCTTCCCTTTCTATTCTCACTGCAGCACCCTTCTGTATAGCAACAGAGGTTGCACCATGGAGTCCTGGATTTGGTGCCAAGAGCACTCTTCCACCAGCACACTACCACTTGATTCAACAGCCTCAATCATCCTAATTGTAGGGAGGTGTCTTGACATCACCAAAAGAGTCCTCTGGCCAAGGCAAACCATAGTTTTCAGGGCTTGACAGAGGGCAAGACATTCAGGACCTGCAAAACAGGTACCTTTAAAGGAAACAAAGCCAAAGCCTGCAGTTGATGGTGGCCGTGGAGTTAAATCAGAAGACGTGGTAGGGCCCCCAGGCAGCCCACGGCTGAAGGCATGAGCACAACACCAAGCTCCTAATGAAGTTCATGGCGGCAGGGAAGGACTTCTCAGGAACAGCAGTCTCCTTGGGAGAAAAAACTTTCCTTCCAGAGAAACCAGAGGATCAAATCCTGCTCAGCTGACCAAATATCTGCAGCTGAAACATTCTTCACACTCTCTAGATTTTGCTGCCCCCAAGTCAAAGTCTTAAGTTGCCCCACCCTTGTTACAGTTCTATATCCAACAGTTTGCTCTAGCACATCTGTTTGCTCACCAACCCTTCACGCATACTCTTTATCGCGAAGGTCCTACCGCTTGAAAGGTTCCTACAAAGCTTTCACAATACACATAATACATTTGAATGATATGGATATTTAAATTGGTTATACCAACCTGGATATGGACAAATTCAGTGGGTCTGGGAGCTAATTTATTTCCCCTGGGAAACGCAGCAGGCCATCCATCCTTGCTGCTGGTGAAATTCAGTGACAAATTGTGCCACTTCATTTAAAGCAAGGATTTCAAAATGGATGTTCCTGTTTTGTCACTAAAATTTGATAGCAAACCAGTAAACCAGAGCTTGGGGGGCACTGCATGTTAGCTGTGTGTTGCCCATCTGAACCACATCTTAGAGCGAGAAAGCATCTCTGATTAACCCCATCTGGTATGGCTGTTGAGATTTATAGTCCAAGATACCTGGAGCAGACTAGTTTGATGAAAGCTTATGGACAAGGCAGAGTAGGATGCAGTAACTAATATGGGACAAATTTATTCACTATCAGCTGAAGATGCATCACATATTTTCATAAATAAGAGAAATCATACAAGCAAGAGGATGTATACCTGAAGTGCTCATAGGAGAACTCTTCAAGAGTATATGGCTTCACCTTTGCTTCCTCTTCCTCAGGTTCCTCTGCTCTAGAGTTCAGAGATGCCAACCTTCGTTGTTCAGGTGACATCATCAGCAAGCGCTGAAAAGAGATGGTCATTAGAAGACTCCATGCTTATTACCACAGCCAACATTATCAGAAATTTACCACTTAATGGGACCTGGGAGCAGGATACCTGTTTTCTGCTTCCATTATAAAGGATTACTGGATGGGTCTACACTGAGCTAATAATTCTGAAAACATTCCAAAGGGGCAAATTCCCCTCGATTTCTAGAAGTGGATCTAAGAAAGGACACCATGTGATTCAGCAAACAATTCATTTTATTCCATGTACCCAATATACTTGAAAAGCCAGATATTTTAATTGAAACAAATTTCCAGAAAGGGAATAGCGAATGAGAATGTTGAAAATAGTTTTTAAAGGAATCAGATCATAATTAAAACACAAAATAATTAATGTGCATAAATAAAATGTAAATTAAGCAATTTAGTAATTACTGAATAACTGCGCACCTTAAAAAAGTAATGATCTGTATCCCAATAAGTGTAATCTAGACATGTGGAAAAATTTGCCACATTTCATCTGTTTGATCTGGGCCTTCAACAAAACCATTCTCTCTCAAGGGCAAATAGCTATCAGAGTTTAGTTTTGCATTAAATAAGCATGTGCAAATTCTCAGTGTATTCAGTGGAGGAAAACCTTTGAGTTCAAAGCTAAAGGAGAAAATTAGACTTGAGCTAACTGAGTGGTATGGCAGTCTGCAAAGAAAGACCCAGGGTACAAGGAAATACCTGGAAGGAAATACTGATGGGGAAGCAAGAATGTTGGGGGAACACTGTCGGTATCAGATGCCTGTCACTGTAGTATGAAGCCAACAAGGACATATAGAAAAAGTAGGAGACGGTGGAGTACCAATCCTCACCACAGACAATTCCAGACTCCAGTTATTTCAAACAGGGCCCAACACATCTAATCAACAGGGATGGCTGACCTCTTTAAACCACCGGAAGCCCATTTAGCTCTCTTCAGAAGCAGCTCCGTTAGAAATTTAGGAAGCACTTAGAAGCTCAGTAGGAACCTCCCCCATGTTAAAGGGCTTAGACAAGCCCTGACAACATTAACAACAGCTCCCTTGCCATATTTTTTCTTTTTCCCCTGTCACTCCATGCACATTTTTCTCCATCTTATTTTTCCACTTTTCCGCTTGTTACCCATGTTATGAAGGGATGTAGGAGGTGTCTAGGCACTGCATTATTTGCTCCTTACCAGTATTTGACTAGAAGGCTTTGTGATAGTTGGAATTATATAGACTGCCTCTCGCAACACAAGCCCAGATTTAGCTGTACGCTCATTTTGAGCCTGGATCCAGTCTTGGCTTTCTTGTCCTTTGTTTTGGTTTAAGATCAGCAAATCTCCCTTCTTAAAAGCTAGAACTGTAGGATCATCTGGTGGAGAGAACAAACGTACAATCCAGGTATTACACACCAAAGAGAATATGTGCAGGAAGCTGTTTCAGGCTGAAACTACACGGTCAAATATGGTGGGATTTCCTCTGCTTCTAGAATGACTGACTTTGAAGTATTTTTAATGACCACATGACACAAAGGTTGATTTGAAACAGTACATTCCTTTTTGCTCCCAAAGTGGCTTTTTTTCCTCTGCCGTTGGGGGCTTCTACTTTTTCAAGCTGGAACAATTCAAATGAGCTTTTCCCTTCATCATTATTTGTGATACATTCTTGTAAAGATAACAGGTGTGTTTGTAGGTGGTGCTTCAGCGACATAGGTAGTTAGGGTTTGATATTCAGGACTGGGGGTACACACCCCTGCATTCTTTCCTCTCCCTTGATCATCCTCTGAATTATTATTTTTTAAATCTTTCATGTAGATTAGTGCTAGATTGCTCTATCACTTTATTGCTGGATTCTTGTCATTATTATTTCTTGTATTTACACCCCATAAAAGGATTAGCAAAGATGAGAAGAAGAAATGATAGAGGGGGTATGTAGGCTGTAATGCAAATCGCATCACATTCAGTATGAAGTCCTGAATCAATCCGCAGCCCCTGCGGGAACACCAGCTGCAATCTCAAATGTAATACAGACTGCGAATTAAATTGCAACAAAGCCAGTTAAAACATGAGTCCTCTTATTTCCTCATTAACAAATTAATGATAATGATGACTATTTTGTCAAAGCGTAAATGGACTCTATGAAGAATTTGCTATAATTTATAAATAAAAAAACGCACTAGGGTGATGTGTATCAAACCATTCTTGATTATATTTCAGATGCCCTTCTTGCTACATTATTTTTCCCCCTGACATCTTCTGCTAACAGCTATTCGTATCAAGTTATGAAAGCCTTTTTTCAAATGTTTCATTAGTTCACAACAAGACAGGAAGGGTTGGGCACCTGGACCACATCTGTGGAGTGGGTGGAGGGAGAGATTATACCACTTCATGTCCAATTTGACTTCAGTTCTTTCAATAACAAAAGTTCAGGCTAACTAAATTCGGGGCAGAGTGTTTGGCTGTCCTTACCATGCTTTTGATTGCAGGGCAGGACTGATCTGGCAAAGCTGATATTTGGAAATCTCTCCATCTAGATTCTACACCTTTAAGGGCCCTCGGTTGTAATCTCTCATCAAAATGATGGTCTTTTCCAGCCTTTAACTTTTGCCTCCTTATTTACTGTAGGTTGTTTCTGCTAATAGCAACAGGCCTGCTTAGATACCTTGATGCCTATTTTCATATATTGCCACAGCATATTGAGATACTTTCTTCAATCCTTCCAGAAATGTGACCACTAGCTCTGCAATGTCAACACTGTTCACCGATGTCAAGACAAACTCTTCTGAACGCAAAGTGGTGAGGGTACAACTTTGTCCAAATGCCTTGGCTGCCCTGTGAACCACAAAGCAATTTGTTAAATGCCTCATAAAGTTGCAGAAACCCAAACACCAATACCTAAACTTCCAATCGCACCCTTCAGAGTAAGAATTCAAATATCTCTTGACTTGTTCTATAAGCAGCCATAAACCCTAAAATAAATTCTAAAATTCTCTAGGGGGGGTTTCATGAATTAACCGAGGTTTTTCACAGCGTCCCCTTAGAAAATACATTAAAGAGAATGCACATGCTCTTCAATTAACTCTTTCCCCCTCCTACGGCAGGTTTCTCTCAAAAATATGTGCTATAGCTATTTGGTTTAAAAACTAAGCTTATGTTTATTTTCCCATGACCTATCACCTGCAACTCCCATCATCCATAAACCTCATGATTATCCTGTGGTAGCTGGGCAGGGATGGGAGTTGTAGTTCAACACCTGTAAAAGATACCACTTAATGGGAAGATGCTGTAAATGTAAAAGAAAATATTATCAGATTTAAAGTTTTCTGAATCAACATGAGTTCCAGAAGTGATCCTTGAAGAAGTCTCACTTTCCCTTTTCAGCTATTTTGGAAAACAGACAGAAGAATCTATTATGCACAAATGTTATGAACAAAAATATATATTGATTCCTAGGGACTGTGCCACTGTGTAGTGCAAATGAGCCCACAAGGACTTAACCTTCCTCAGTGCAACAGTCCTTAATACAGCTTTCCAAAGCTTCCCATTAGAACTTCTGCTGAATCTTGGCTGGGATGGATCTACCCTCTCTCTTGTTCAGTGTGTCTAAATAGAAGGCTTACCTATTTGTATGGATGCCGGTAATTTCTGGAAAAGACAGGTCTAGAAGTCTCTTTTCCGAGTCATCAAGGAAGAACACACCTTTCCAATTAACTGCCACTACGAAACGGTTCCTAGGCAGACTTGGTCCTGAAAATATAAATTTAAAAGGTAGTGTAGTTAGCATTTCCTACCACAGGTACTTAAACTTCCGAGCCTCTTACTCACACACAAGGCTTTACCATTACCTGAAAATTTGGTGACTTCAAAGAACCTAGAAAAGAGCAGAGGCCATTGAAAGCGGGCAAAATCCACCAGTTGCTCCTTGACACTCTGAGGGGGAAGTCGGTCCTGTGTATAAGAGGCCTACAATATAAAAGCAATATTCTAAATTCTAATGTGAAAATGCTATATGTCCCCTTGCGTAATCAAGGTTTAGCCTGACACCTCATCAATCAGCTGCAATTAACTATGGCAAGTTACAAAAATCTTTGTGGAAGAGGTAGCCTTCTAAGTCTGTCTTAGTCTGCACTAGCATGTCAGGAAAAACAAAACAAACATGAAAAATAAAGGAGACAAAAGGAGACCTTAAAGACTAACCGCTATATTTTAACGTGAGCTTTCGTAGACAAGTCTGAAGCTTTCATGTCTGAAGAAGTGGACTTGTTCACGAAAGTTCACATTAATACCTTATGGAAACACCAACAGGATTCTGGTCAGTATTTCAATTGCAAATATGGCATGCACTGCTATGCTGCCATATTGAAATCTACTGGGGTGCTCTGTACAGACAGAGTCGAGACTAGGACTAAGAGCAAATGGTACATCAACAACAACAAAAATCAAGCACAGTGTAAACTGTAAAAGAGGGAGGTGAGATAATCCCATTCACAACAGAGTGTAGCATGACAGGACACATCTTACATGGCATGTCCAGCTGCAGTAGCAAAACATAGGAAGAGGACAACACTGAGAACTCCCCAGCGAGCATGGTCACTGGTTGGAGAAGATAATAGATTACAAGTAGGGAAAAGGAGAAAAGCTGTAGCAAAACGGATGATATAACCAAAGTGAGAAGTAAAACTAAAGAATATTAAGTGAATTGTGGAGAGAAGCAGGGTAGTTTGCCTCCATTCATCATGCCTCTCGTAGGACTTTACACAATTTGACAGTTTGTTGAAAGCTCTCAAGCATAATGAGGCATGCCTTTTCTGTTTACTCCTGAAAAGATCGTTAAAGATTTAAGGTAGGTGTCTCGCTCAAACCTTTTTAATATACTCACATAGACCAAGAATATTGGTTTTGTTTTCTACAAATCATGTTGTAAAATCACCAAGAGAGCACTGTAGCACTATGGAGCACTATATAAGTCAAAACAACAACAACACCCTTCTGGAACCACCATTTTCTGTTCCAGAAAAGGGGGGTGGGAAGGATTAGCATATTATGAGGAGAACTACATGACGAAGAAGTAAGAGAAAATGTTCATCCCTGCAACACTTGGATATCCACCTTGAATGCCTATATTGGAAAAGGGGTATGATAAGAATAAAATAGAACAGAATAAAATAAAATATCCATACCTTTGCATGAGCATAGGTGATGAGGCTCACCCACTTCTCTTGGGGTTTGGACTTCAGTTGCTTTGCAGGAATACATTCCTGCAGTATCTTTTGAACCAACTCATTCTGGATGGACTCCCCAAACTGGACATAGCAATATTTCGCCCCTATCTCTACCAAGTCCTCCTCCTGTAACAATGAATGAGTTCAGGCAATTTCCTGGAAGAGGCCTTCAATGAATCTCTGTCACTTTCCAGTACTGGACCAAAGAAATGAAGTATTCCTCTTGTCCCAGAAAAACTGATAGAAATGTACACCAAATAATACACAGAATACATTACTCTAATAGAACTGAACTGAAAAGGACAATAAAATAGACAGTAAAGGAAGAATCACTTGGATAAGGTACATCCTCTAGAAGCAAGTTATTATGAGTCATACCCAATGGTATCTGTCCAGCATTCAGGTCCCTTGTTCCTTGACCAAGATCTATTGGGGAGAGTTGGGGGCCTTTGCCAAATTTCTGGGGAACCATGGTGAAAATGTTGGGGGAGTGGGAGGGGGAAGGAAACCTTTGCTATGCAGGCAGAAGCCTAGTGGTGTAACATCAAATATCTCTAAATGCCTTTGGGCCCCTTTTAGTATCATAACTGAATAAGAGCACACCTTCTCACAGTGGTATTCTCCAAACCGGATGCCGCGGATGATCTGATGATAGATGAGGTCTGTGCTGACAGGATCTTCTTTGGAGTTGTGCCAAGGGGTGAAGATCTCTTTCCTAAAGTAGAGACGCCAGGGTGTGTGGCGTTCATGGCCACCCTTCTCCCTTTCTCGTTGTTCACACTGGGAAATGGCATCCATGATATGGTCCCGTCCACTGCCTAGTGAGCAAGTCTAAAAACATTGTCTGCTTTAAGGATAACTGTGATACTGTATTTGTGGAATAAATAAGCCAATAACCATAGAAAAGTACCACTTTAATGGAATGAGCTAAGAAAGGGAGTGCAAATTGTAAAACAGTTTATGAAGAATGTAGCACTAGGAATTAACAGTCTAGTGCAGCGATGGCGAACCTATGGCACGCGTGCCACAGCTGGCATGCAGAGCTCCCTCTGCAGGCATGCGAGCCATAAGTTGCTGCTTCCAGTCAGCGTAGCCAAACCTGAGGAGGAGGCTGCAGCTGCTGTGCTGGCACCCCAACATGCTTCAGGCCAGGATCTGGAGCAGCTGGTGTTGGTGGCAGATCCAGAGTGGGGTCCTAAGGCACCTCCGTGCCTAGATTCCCCTTTCCACCACCACTTCCGCTTCTGTCGCTTGCCGCCTGCTGTTTGTTTGTTCCCCTCCAGTTTGGGCACTTGGAGTCCAAAAAGGTTTGCCGTCACTGGTCTAGTGTAAAGCAGTGCATGTAAGGGGTTGCGAAAAGGAGTTTGCTTTTTCCTTTGGGTTTTGCCTGAAAAGCTTGCACAGACTAACACAGTTACATCTTCTAAATATAAAATGAGTACACTGCCATAACAGTATGGCATACATGGATTTCAAGCAGTGAACTATGTGATAAAACATAAGCAGCTACCCACATGCATTAACTTCACAGCATTAAGTTGACATGATCAGTTGAGCCATGAACACATTCAATTTATCCAGGGAAAATCCTCAAGAGAAAAAAGAAAATCAATACCACATGCATTAACTTCACAGCATTAAGTTGACATGAACACATTCAATTTATCCAAGGAAAATCCTCAAGAGAAAAAAGAAAAGTCAAAATTGTAGTGTAGAGACTGGCTTTAAGCTCTAAACATGCCTTCCTTCCCATAATATTGTGAGAGGATGGAATTTAGTTAGGGTTGGAAAGAATGCAGGAAACTGTGCTCTTGCATTTATAGGCTTAGGCCAGTCTCCAATGATGTAATTCCTACTTCTGGATTATGTGCAAAAGGGGAGGAGGGATCCATTGCTGCTTCTGCTAATGCAGTCAGTTTCAGAACCAGTTGCACAACAAGTTGTAGAAGCGGTTGCGTGCCTAAGAACTAAATGATGGAAATATAACATGCCTCACACATCTGGAAAAACCCATGGGACAACATTGGCACACTCTTTTCCTCTGGTAATGTTACACACTGATGTCACAGCAAAAAAATAAAGCATCCAGTAGAGCGTTCAAGAAACAGTTGTCTTATTTATCCCTTGTGAAGAAACTAGGAAAACAGTGATAAAAGATGTGACACCAAGATTTTAAAGGAGTGTGTAGAGCAAATTTCGTGATGGGCAGTGATACTTCTCTCACCTTATCATACAAAGCAATGTAGAGAGAGAAGCCAAATGTATCCTTCAGATTCACTTTATCAGCTACCAGCTGGCAGATCTCTTTTGCAGTGGAAGCTGAATCTGCAGGAACCGTGATGCTGCTGCCAATCATCAGAGTCACACTGAGGGTAATGGGCATTTTACTCTTTGTTTCCTGAAAGGCAGAGTTAAAGAAGCAAATATGTCACTGAGACTGGGCAATTTGAAGCACCTTTGTCATGCCGTCCCTATACTACTTCTGCATGGTTCATTGCACCACTGTTCACTCTCTCCACAGACTCACACCCAGCACTTTTGCATTCTTTAATGTTTTGGTGCTCCCAGGCCACAGAGAGGGTGAAAACAGAAACATTTTCTTATAATGCTCCCCACTTCTCTGACCCCCTGTTGCCAATTTCTCTGCCCATGTCTCTGTCTGCTCTTTCCACCCACTCTCCTGCCACATTCATGTCCACCAAAAGCCCCCTATGTCAAACCACACCATACAGTACAAAAAATGTATTCCAATATGGCACTACAAAATACACACACATATGAACTGAACTAAAACTGGCAGAAAGGCACAGAAACAGATCAGCTGTACTCGATATAAGCAAAAGGTCATCTGGATGTGGGGGAAAATAATGGTATGATGTGTGCACATGGCTTAAGCAGAACAAATGTCACTCTGGTGTTTAAAACAGTTTTCTTCACTTTGCTATACTTTGTAGCTGTAATGGGAATCTGAGCTCATTAAATAAGCCTTGAGCTTCCATATAAAGTATAGAAACTCTATTGATGCCCATTTGTGTGATTCTCTTCAAGTCTATCAGTACAGAAGGGAGTAATTCATAATATCTAGGTTGCTTTCCACTATTACTGCTAAGGCACTGCTTTTTTGTAATTGACTAGAAGTATAATTAAAACAGAGGTTGCAAATAGTAATTACTATTGTTCCATAGTAGTATAAGTAAAAGGGAAAAGACAATTAAGTAGAATATAGGCAATGATTACCTGTAGCTCCAGCCAACTAGGTGGTTCAGATCGTGCTCCATTTTTTGATGTGCGCCTCAGCTTTTCCAGACAATATGACGTATACCTTGGTGGTCCACCCCGAATGAAATTCTGCAGGGTCTAGTAGTATAAAGCCGAACAAGATATGAAAAAGCACACATGCTCATAACAATCTGGGGAATCTTCTAAAATGGATGAATAAAAAATGTTTACTGTCGTGTACTGGGCTGGCACAAATTTGGCCTCCATCAGGATGGGTTATGTTCTTCAAGACAAGGTAGGGATCGTGTGATCCAAATCTTTGCATTGGTTCTGGCAATTATACCTGTCGGAATACCTCTCTCAGAAATCAGTTTTCCATCCCACCCACTCCTCTCAGTCCAGGTTGTTAAAAGCTATACCAAAGGAGATTTTAAAAAAGGAATTGTGCCTTTTTTATTGTGGGCCCTAGCCTCTGGAGTAAAATGCTGACAGAGATATGCCAGGCTTCTTCCCGCCTTGTGTTCAGAAAAGCAGTGAAAACATAATTATTTAAAACTGCCTTTAATTAAGTAAATCTCCCGGGTGCTGTCAATAACAACTTTTAAAAAAATGTATTCTAGGTTTTTACAGGGTTATTCATTTTCACCATTATAATTATTGTCTGCTGTATAGCTGTATTGTTTTTGAATGTTTTTTTTATTATTGTGGTATTGCAAGTTCTATTTTTTTGTAAGCTGCCCAGTGTAGTGCTTGCCCTAATGGGCCAATATATTACTAATTAACTACAGCACTTTCTTCTTCTTCTTCTGGCCTGTCACTAACTATTGCCCAGTATTAGTTTAACTACTGCTGCCTCCACCACCACCACCACTCCCACCGTCTCCTTCTCACTGTTCCTCCTCTTCTGTGATGGTCGTCAGTGAGTATCCAGGACAGTTTCAGTGTCCCGGAGTAAAAGAGAAAATAAAGGTTTACAATTTCAAGATGGCAAAGTAATGGGGATGAGAGGTAGAAGCTGGGTCTACTTAATCAGAATTGGGGCAACAGAAGGAGATGGCAGTAGATTTCACAGGCGTAGACCTTTGCCTCAAGCAGCTTGGCAGTCAAGACTTCTCCTTATGCCACTTCTCAGCTATTAATTAAGCAGCAATTGGCACAATCATGGACATGCTTTAAATTCAAATTAGTCCAATACCTCGAAGATCATCTTAAGTTCTGTAACACTCTGGAAACTGGGGAATTTTCACTAGTTGTCCAGAACTCACCAGTGGGCAGCTTTCCCAAGAAGAATATGTCAAAACTGGCAATGATTAATTACTGGCAATGGTTAGTTCTGAAAACCTCTAAATAAAATTTATTGAAATATGAATTCAAAACAAGATGTCTCTTGATGGTATTAAGGTCTGAGGTTAGTGGTGGGTAAAATAAAATAGAGAGAAAGGAAATTAAGAAAAGGGAGCATACCTACCGAAAGTATTCTTCCCCCCTCCACAAAACAATCATTGGGTGAATAAATGGAGTCATTTGTTAAAGATCAGTTTAGCTACTATACTCGTACAATATCAAAACAGCTGTTTGTGGAGTTGCAAGGCATGGGTTTGCCCCAGATCTGTCAAAATTGGCATAAGCACTAGTAACATTTAAACACAACAGCTTTCTCCAGGAGTTTGAATTGTGGTGCTGGAGGAGACTCTTGAGAGTCCCCTGGACTGCAAAGAGAACAAACCTATCAATTCTAAAGGAAATCAACCCCGAGTGCTCACTGGAAGGACAGATCCTGAAGCTGAGGCTCTAATACTTTGGCCATCTCATGAGAAGAGAGGACTCCCTGGAAAAGACCTTGATGTTGGGAAAATGTGAAGGCAAGAGGAGAAGGGGACGACCGAGGACGAGATGGTTGGACAGTGTCATCGAGGCAACCAACATGAACCTGACACAACTCCAGGAGGCAGTGGAAGATAGAAGGGCCTGGCGTGCTCTGGTCCATGGGGTCACGAAGAGTCGGGCACGACTAAACGACTAAACGAAATGAAACAACTGTAATATAGGTACCTTCTCAAACTTCTCGGAAGGAGGGAAGGAACCAAGACAGAGGGACAGCAAGATCCAACCTCTATGGTAACTATTCCTATTGTTATTCCCAGTGAGTTGCTTGCAAATCTGACAATAAATTTCATCTCTGTAAAAGAAAGAAAAAATGATTGTTTTCATCTGCCATCTATCTATCTATCTATCTATCTATCTATCTATCTATCTATCTATCTATCTATCTATCTATCTATCTATCTATCTATCTCCTGATAAACACTTACACGACTTTTAAACTGTTACGTAAATTTCCCAAACATTACTTGGATTATATTGGCTTTTTGTGTCCAAATAATTCATATTCTATCTGTAGACTGGACCAACTCAATGGTTATTTTTAGTCAAGACTTAACATGCAGTAGCCATGTCTCATTAACATCTTATTCATGCAGTTTTACAAAGGGCCCTCCATACAAGCCTCTCACATTTTCCCACTGCTTCTGCTGTCTTTTTTCTTATGGCAGAAACCCATTACAGAACGAAAGAGCAGAATAACAATGCACTTTAGGGTGCATCCAGATGGGGGAAGTTGGAGCGATCTGGTTTGCGCTTAAAAGATTCTTAAGTTTATTGTGATCTACTGTATTTTATCTCTCACTTCTGTTAACACCGATTGACTTTTTTTTTCTCCTGTGAAATGGTCCAGACAGGTCGCTGCATTACTCCAATGTGTCCCCCTTTCGATTAATGACACCTCCCTTCCCACCCACTTCCCTGTGGCAACTTTCTTTTTTGTTGTTTTTAAATAAGTGGCATAGCGAAACAGCAATACATCTACCTAGCATGGTGCACACAATACTATCAAGACATCCCTTGTTTATCTCAACTCCTCTGTAAATTTCATTTATTCAATGGGCCTGCTGTAGTTTTAACTTGCTACTGGATTTCAGCCAGTGACTATATGCTCTGGTAAGACAAAGCGGCATTTTGACATTGTAGAATAGCTTAGTGAAATGGGAGGCTTCTCTTTCATACTAGATTAATACCTAATGTTGGGACGTGCAATAGCATTGCAAATGATCACATGCACTTTTTCAAGGTTAGACATAGGTCTCTCTGAAACCATGCTATCCTCCCGAAACACACGTTCCCCGTTTGTTAGCTGGCTTGCCACCTAAAATGAAGAAGAAAAACATTTATTCTCACTTGCATAACGATAATTTTTTTAAAAAATGCATGTACAACTTCACAGGAAATATTTACATGGGTGCATTCTAAATTGTGGCCCTCTGGATCTTTCTGGCCTACCACTCCCATCAACACTAGCCAGTATTGCCAATAATGAGGAAATATGGGAGATACATCCAAAACTGAGGGCCACAATTTAATGTACTCATACAAATGTTTCCTATGAAGTACAGTTGCTATAAATATGTATTATACATATTAGTTCACATGCAATGTCTGTTTATAAGCAAAACATTAACAAACCAGCTTGTTCTGCCTAGGTACTTTGTGGAAACCCCATACAAGCAATAGGAACTTACAGCACCATGCATTTGCATAGACAGCAACGTAATGTGTGAGGAAAGGACTCTATTTTTATAACTGTATTCACAATATCTGCATTTCTTACTTTTCTTTATTTTTTTGTTTTGTTTTATTGTTTGAAAAAAAATTGTGGAGACTTGGATACACATGGACATGTCACTTTAAATGTAACATAAACATATGGTATGTTAGGGAATGCCTATAGGAACCTTCTGTTCTACCAAAAATATAATATCTCACCTTCAAATAAGCCACATACTGGACACTTTCTTTAGGGTATCACAATGCTAGATAGGGTAGTTAATGGTAGGGGGAACTGACACTACAGTGCAGATTCTGACTAAGATGTTACTTGAACGTCCCTTGCAGCTACTAGAGGAACAGCAGCCTCCATTTTGTGCAAACCGTTTTGTCACATCCATCCTGCAACCTTTCAGATATGCAAAGAAGCCTGAGAGGGAACGTTCTTGACTGACTTTCCTTTTGGTGCCCAATGTGTCATCTTCATTACTATCCTTTTCTTCACATCAGGCACTTCATTTTCATATGTCTTTGCTGGTTATCCTTTCATCCTGTGATGAATCACATTTCATATGCTTCTATCCTTTTTATAGGATTAGTTCTACCTTTTTTAAAACACAGAATTGAAGACCAGCATTACTTGTTTTAGTATTCATTTTCTTCTTTTATAATGCAAATATTCAGACCCATATCCCATTCTTTTTCCCTACTGTAATATATTTATTTAACTGGATTATTACATTGGATCTAGCTTCCTATTTGCATGTTCATGGGTTAAACGGAACCCCCAATTCAGCATTTGAGGGAAAGGGCGATGGGCTAATTGCTGGCAACATTGTTGATTGTCAACTCTGTACAACTCTGATCAGCAAGAAAAGCTTTGTCTGATTCTTGGCTGACCTAACTGCTGGGCATTGGAGCATGGTCACTACAATCATCACAAGGACAAAACCTACCTTTCCAGTTAGCTTGGAATTGTGCTTTAGTTTCACAGATGAAATTACCTTGGAGAACTTGTTATCTTTTCTGTTGTCCATCTAGATACAAAAGTTTATTAGAAAGTTTTCAGTTGATCCCCAAAACATGGTGGCAATGGCGACATCAAAGAATACTCATTAAGAAACGAAGCAGGAAACTGTGCGAAGCAAAACACTACACACTAAAAACCCTTTTCTCAAGTTTCAAGCACTGCTTTCTGGGAAGTGCTAAGCTGCTAGTGTAGAACAGTACTGTTCTTTGCTCACAATGCATAATGCTCATAAATCAAGATAAAGCACTGCCTATCTTGATCGCACAACAGAAGATAAATTGTTGGACAAAGTTATAGTCATTAGAAGACTTGTTCACAACTCTGGCAAACATTCAAATGTCTTCATAAAGCAAAAGTAGTCACGTTGAAAGTGTAAAATTGGTCTGGTAAATTCAACAATAACTGCTTAGATTTATCAGAAACACACTCTAAAATGTGAGGGGGCATTTTGGAAGATTTCCAGATGAAAGATTTATGGTAGTTGGAACAAACCTACCTTCCTATTTTGAGCAAAACTAGTTTTTTCTCCAGTTAGCAAAGTATTTACAGAAACCATGATTATAAGCCTGCTCTCTCTGTAATTTGAATTTATACCAATGAGAGAAGAATGTGGGTCATACCAGTAGAGTGTGGACTCTAAAAACACTAGATGCCTGCCAGAGCTATAAATCATGTTCTGAGTAATGTTACTGGAATGTAATATTTGCTTTTTTTTAATCCACAGAGTCCTAATGAACTATGACCCAGTTTCCTCCCAACCCAAAAGGCTTACAATTAACAATGGAGCAATCACAGACAACTAGCCTGTCCCCATTAATTATACTAATTCAAGTCTGCAACCCCTAATTGCAGGAAGTTAACAATTAAACCCCATAATTCTAGCTACACCATGGAGCAGTCATCTCAAAAATGCCTTTGATTTTGGGCAGTCAAACACAGTATACAAACACACCAGTATTAAAACATGGCACTCTAGGTGCCTAATGACCCGCTTTGATTTTGTTACCTCTGCAATGGCTGGAGGGAAAAGAGAATCATCTCCGCACAGGTCACAACATTTGATAGGAGCTCTGAGGCTCAAAAAGGGAGACCTGGGCCTGGACGCAACTCCCATTTAAAAATAACTTTGACACTACTTATTGCTTAGTGGGTGAAATATTGCCATTTATTTTAAACATGCATGGTAGCATGGGAGAGGTTGCTGCTCTACTTTTACTTTAAAAGATGTGTCCTGGACCACTGACAGCAACAGAGAACCTTGTCTGCTATTTCCCAGTATTTCAGAGGGGCGCAATGGTCTTAAGCCACTCCAAAAAGTGTAGCAGACTGCTTCAGACTCCCCAGTCTAGCTGAGGACTGCAGCACTTGAGGAGGAAATTAACTCTTTCCCTCCTCAGCCTGTTTCCACTAGGAATGGGATTTTTTTTTTGAAGTTTCTTGACTACACATTCCGCAGTTCTCCATAATTCTCCATTCCATAATTCTCCAGTTTTGCCTGACAGATGGACACCTAAATGTGTGTCACCTGGGAGAAAGGACTCAACTAGAAGACTTTCAGGGTGAACTAGACCTAGGTCCACCCAAGCTTCATGTTCCTTCCTCAGAGCTACCTGGGAGCTTTCTTTTTTCGAATGAGAAGCTAGGCAGAGTGAGGCCTAGCTAAGCCTCAAAGCCTTCCAGTTGAAGCCTTTCTCCCAGGTAACATACATTTAGGTGTCTGTCAGTGAGTTAGAACTCCCAGAATGGAGAATTATGGGAGTTGCATTCCAAAAAAAATAAGACAATCTCATTCTTTAAATCAAGGCCACCTTGAAAAATGGCATGGGCCATGTAAGGCCTTCAAAGTTTTCTAATTATTATTATTATTTTTATTATTTATTTTATTTATATCCCACCTATCTGGTCATGTCAGGACCACTCTAGGCGGCTAATAACATTAAAAGATAATACAAAAAATATATGTATAAAGACAATTTTACGTAACAGAAATACTGAACAAAATAGGAAAGCTGAAGGAGAGGGGGGGAAAAAAGAAAAAAAAAGGGTGTCAGGAATTATCTGATGGGAAGGCCTGCCTAAACATCCATGTATTTAATTGATTCTTAAAAATACCCAGCGAGGGAGCCATGCGAATCTCAGGAGGTAGGTTGTTCCAGAGGCGAGGAGCCATTGCCGAGAAGGCCTGATTTCTTAATCGGGCCTTAATTAAAAAGAAGAAGCTCTTAACAATGCAGAATATTTCTCTCTTACCAGGTCTGGACTGTAGCTGCCTGTGGGATGCTGTTGACTCTTCTTGCCAAAGCTGTCATAAACCTGAGTCACCTCAGAGCTGCTCCTGTTGCTGGTGTTCTTTCCTAGCTCTGGTAAATCACCCATGAATTGCAGGATGGTGGTCCATACAACTAGGGATGCCTGGCATGGAAAGGACAGATCAATAATAGATTTTGAGTACTGTAAAAAGAGACAGAAGTCCTATGTTTGTTTTGGAAAAATTAATGGCTGGAATTCTGTTGAATGCGAGTGGGGAACAACTATGACCACACCATGTGTGATCTTCTGCCTGCACAGAAATATATTGGATAATTCCGTGAACAGACTCAGAAAACAGGATCACTTGTGCAACAGACTATTGTGTGAGCAGTTCACCTAAAAGAGGATTCCTGTCAATAAATTCTACTTTGTCAACAGCATTTTGTACCCTTCAGGGATATGCATGTAGAAAGTTAACACACAATACTCAAGTAGAACTGTCATCTGGTGTCATCTTTATAGACCACATAATGATGGAGTTGAAAGCACTTACTGTACTTCCCTGGCTTCCTGTTTGGTTCTAAAACCAATTCAGAGCATTTTAAAAAAAAACTTATAGAGCCCTAAACAACTTGGATCCGGGATATGTGAAAGATGGCCTCATTCTGTACAAACCTGTGCAATACCTGTGTGAATGACTTCAGCATCTAGCCCATCTTCCTAGAGAAAGCAAGCTGGTGGGACCTTGAGAAAGGACTTCAAGGTAACAGCAAGCTGTTCTAAGCCCCCATCCCTACAAAAGTTAGGTCAGCTCCCTCTTACTGGCCTTCAAATAACAGCTTAAAATTATACCAACCTGCAGAAACCACAGTGATTAATGCAATTTCTTGTTTTTTGAGAGTTTTTTTAATGTATTGTAGTATATTCAATATAATGTATTGGAGGCAGAGAGAGACACACAGAGTGTATAGATACACACACACACACACACATACATGCATACCTATCTATACACACACACGGTGCATACATACATACAGTATATGTACATACATACACACACACACATATATTTTCTACACAAGATATATATACATCACAGATGAAATGAAATTAAAACAGATTAGTTACCATAATATCATCATTCTCTTCATGGTAGAGCAGAGGATGACGTAGTAGCCGTCGAATGTGGGTGTGCGTTGAGGATCCTTGAAAGCAAGTGGCTGCAAATTTGGCAAATGTATATTCCCCTTCATCGTCGTCTTCTTCCTTCTCCTCCTCAATATCCTCCAACTCCATAGACATAGGGATCATATCCAGGTCCACCTCATTCAATTTGTATGCCTGGGTCTTTGTCTCCAGGTCCTTCAGGGCAGAAAAGCAGACAACAGGGCATGGTTTCTATTTCTGGTTTCTGTTTCTATAGTGCCATTTCCCTCTCTGCTCCACCTTTAAGATGTTATGGCTCTAGGCAGATGCTCTCCAAATAGTGACTATGTCAGCTACTACTATTAAACACCAGCACATATTTTCCAGCTCCTCTATGGTAGACAGCCACTTCACAAAGGGGTTAAAATGGTCTATAATGCCTTTATAACTGCCGCTTACCTCAAAGCCCAGAGGAGCCTCCCCTTCTTGCCCTCCAATTAAAGCAGGTAAGAAACCAAACACTCTGTCCACCATTTCTTGGTCACTGAGGGCATCATACAGTGTTTCGTGTCTGTTGTCTACACCATCCTGCTTCTTTAGTTTCTCAACATCTTCTTTTTGTACTGGAACAGCCTGCTGATCCTAATAAAGAAATCACAGAAATCAATTTTGCTGAAAAATTGGTGAAGAGCTTTACATATACAAAATCTTCAGGGAGGCAAACTGTAGCCAGCAAAGAGCTTCCTTTGTCCACAGCAATTCAAAGAACCTACCTTTTCTATTCTGAGAGTTTCTTCCTTTGTTTTCTTTGCTCCAGTGCTTGGAATTATAATCTTATCTTTTTTCAAGTGCAGTTTTCTGGTTTCCAGTTTATGTTGCTGCTAAAAATAATAGAAACTTAAGGGCAATTCTCTTTATCATTTTGCAGAATCCCCTCTTTTCCAATTATTACTTCCTTCACATTTACAGACATATGTATCACAAAATTTAGCAGCACTCTGGCTAGGTTTTGCCTTTCTATTTATACAGTTGTGAAGCACTGCTGTTAAAAACTAAGCATATATATTGCTCTGAAAATAGTTACTACAAAGGGATAAATGTTTCTTATCTTTCTGTTAGGACACCTTTGGCAAGATTTCCAAATTCAATTTCTTCTGATCCCCTTGTTAACTTTTCCCTCACCTCATTCAAGCACTAGTATAAAAATATCCAAAAAGAAAAATGTCCATGTATCTGATGACAATGGGTCTGCTCCAAAAACGCTTGCATCATTGCAAATTTATTAGTCTTCAAGGTTCACAAGACCTTGTTTTTACTTAACTGCAGCTATCACTTGTGGTTAGATTCTATGCCCAAAATCCTGTTGCTTAGCGTAATAAATTGCACTGCAGTAGGCCTAATTGAATCAATGGAGAGTTGGTAAGTCAACTCTTCTGTAAGTTTCATTGATTCATATGAATCTATGCTATGCTTGCTCTGGTCCATGGGGTCACGAAGAGTCGGACACGACTAAACGACTAAACACACACACACATGCTATGTAACTGACTTACTTTAGCGTAGTGTCACTTACTGTGCTACAGTTTCTCTCTTGCTTCAAGTGGCAATTTAGCCCCTTGATTTATTTATTTTTTTCTACTCATATTTGCCGGTACATCGATATATCAGAAATAAGGCTCCCTCTAAGGTGCATGACTACACAAGCGCACTTGACTCTGCCCCCTCCTCTGGACAACTCATGTGACTAAATCACCATTGATGCAATGAGCCTAGTCTAGAATACCATGTTAAGTGACAGAATGTTTGCCTATTGTCTATGGCAATACATGATATGGCTGCTGTCAAATCTAAACTGATGCATTATGTAATGCTTATTATAACCCAACTATACCTACCTCTCTCTTCATTCTCTGGAAACTCCTACGAGCAAACATTCCCCTGGCATAGGCCTGTATCACACACACAGCTTTCCTCTGTTCAGCTGTTTTCTGACGCATCAGGTAACCACGACACAAGGCTTGGAACTTAATCACACTTGCCCGGGCTGTCTCATACTGCTTTGCAAGCTGCCTGCTCCGGAAAAGAGCTTGCAGGCGTTCAAATCCCAACATGATCTAGCATATAAGGATCAGAAGAGATAAGATGAAAGACATATGCTTGATGTAAATAAGACAGAAAGGATTCAGAAGGATCCCAGGAGAAGCAATGTAAGGCCGAAATTATATAGTATATCATTAGAAGAAATTCTTCAGCTGGTGAAAGTGGCTGATAGTCATAGCAGGAGCTTATCACATTTCCTATAGTCTACAGTTATGCCTACATGTCTTGCTCCTCTCTGCTTATTCTCTCCTTCCTACTTGACTACATGGGGACTGGGGGCAGAATCTACAGTCTAGGTCATAAACACACACAACTGGTCTAGACCCAGAACATCTTGGTTGAAATGAGACAGCTTGCTTTGTTTTCGGATTGATTTATGTCTTTTGGACAAAACCATAGGCTTAATTTTCTGGTCTGATTTCTCATACACAAGACAGCTGCTGCAACCACAACCCTCCACAAACATTGACTTGATCTCAGCTAGGAGGATGTGTTAGGTGGAATGTATCCCTTGGCCTTGATAATTCAGAACAGCCTTGTGAACTGATAACCATTCACCTAGTTGGACGATGCTGGAGGAGTTAATCTTTCTCAACTTTGCCAACCTGGGTTCTCTAAGCAGTAGATGGCTAGACCTGGGGGAAGGGTGTTGGGAGGTGTTGCAATAATCTTTCAGAATTGAGTGGCCCCAAAGACAGGTAACATCATTGCTGTATGTAACAAGTGGCCCCAACCAGGTGTCCTGTTTCACAGTCTGTTGTGTTTGAGTGTGCATATCTGTTCTACCCAACTGCAAAGTTCATGTTGCGAGAATCTTATTCAATACCCTGGCCATTGGCTTGTGGACTGCCAGTTCTGCCCCTCATGCTATTTAACATCCAGGTGAAACCACTGGGAGAGGTTGTCTGGAGTTTTGGGGTTCAGGGCCATCAGTATGCTGATGATACTCAACTCTCTCTCTCTCCTTTCCATCTGATTCCAACCAAGTTGTGTCTGATGTATGAGCTTATGATCTATACTCCCAGTCGTTATGTAGTCAAGTAGAGGGAAAAATAAACAGAGAAGCAAGACATGTAGGCATAAAAGAAAACATCACTAACTAGAAGATTCTGGATGGCTCCTTCTTCACTGACAATAATAGACTTTCTTGGCAAGTTTTCCAGCATTTCATAGAATCATAGAATAGTGAAGTTGTAAGGAGCCTATAAGGCCATCAAGTCTAACCCCCTGATTGATGCAGGAATACAAATCAAAGGATATCTGCCAGGTGGTTGTCTAAATTTCTTTTGAATGCCTCCAGGGTTGGAGCACTCAGCACCTCTCAAGGTAACTGGTTCCACTGTCTTACTGCTCTAACAGTTAGGAAGTTTTTCCTGATATTCAACTAAAATCTGACTTCCTGTAACTTGAGCCCATTACTGCGTGTACTGCTCTCCTGGATGATTGAGAACATATCCTGCCCCTCCTCTGAATGACAGCCTTTCAAGTATTCAGAAAGTGTTACCATAATCCTTCTTCTTTCTCTGTCTACAAAGAAGGAGCCATCCATTCATGGGATGCACTCAAGCTCCTCAGTTCAGTAGGAGGACAGGTGGCAGAATTAAAGAGGGATTACCTTCCTGAGTCCTAGATGTCCAAAAGACACTTGAACAGATGCAGATGCACCTATTTTCTAGTACCTGGTGCATGTAGAAGGCAAAGCCCAGGCTGCAGCTTTGCAAATTTTCTTGCTCCCTACCAGCACCAAAAAAGGCTGTGGAAGCAGAGGCTGCTTTAGAATAATATGTTACATGGGTAGGTTTACAAAGGCTTTGGGGCCCACAGTCAGTGGAGATGCAGGCTTTGACTCAGCATGCTAAGGTGTTTGTGTTTTTCCTATTATCTTCAGAGTCAAAACATCTGAAGGAGGAACTCCTTTTTATGCAGATTTTGAGCACCCTGCAGACACAGAGTGTGTCCTTTGTTCTTTTCCTTAGAGTGAGTAGAAAGTGAGCAGAAAGAAGGAAGAACAAGATTCTGAGACATGCAAAGAAGAAAGTTGACCTTAGGAAGGAAAGGAGGATTGGGCTGCAGTGTTACCAAGTTTAGGTTAATCGACAGACCAATGAGCCTGGACACCTGGTGAGCTGAGATGATGGCTACCAGCAAGCCACCCTTTAAGGCAAAGAAGTCTATGTGACATAGATTGAAATGGTTCAAAAATGTTCATGTCGATGCCTTAAGAATTATAGAGCTGCTAGTAGGAAACCTCTCCCTCTTTCTTCCATCTCTCCCCTTAAGAAAAACACAGAATGCCAACCCACTTATAGTGCCAACGGGCATCAGTTGGACATGGCTGGAACCTGGGTAAAGCCAAGTCAATCAGGCAATATGTCAGCCCAACTAATTGCTATGCAGAACCTATGAGTGCAAGTGCCTTACCATCTTGAAGTTCTTTCTACAGCAGTAGCCCCTCCAGGCTGTCTGAATGAGCACAGCAGAGCGTCTCTGCCTGAGAAACTGCTTCCTACAGAAGGAAAGTAGAAGGAATTAAAAACAGCAAACTTCATTTTCTATGCATGCAAAATATGCATGCAGAATTATAGCCCAGAATTATAGCCGCTATGGAATCAATAGTGGGACTTGGAATATTGTGAGTAGATAGTCTGAAGATCTTTTCATGCATATAAACAGAAATAAACCAGGAAAACATTCATTTATTCTGAATCCTATGTGAAAAGTGATTCCTTCTAGGGGACTTTGATTTTATTTAATTAAAATTATTGCATCTGAACAATCTTTTCCATAGATGTTTACAAAAATTACCTAAACTGGAACTTGATCTACTCCAAATTGTTCCTGCCCTCTATTTGTTTGGCTTGTTTAGCATTCAACAGCTGTTGATGAGACTATAGGGGAAAGTAACTGTACAGACACATAAAAACTATTGCGTATGTTAAGAGGCTGGCTCAAGGAAGCATGCAGTCCCAATGAGTGAGCCCAGTCACCCTGTTATTCTTATCTGTCAGTTTACTCTTTACAAGAGGAACCTGTAATGAACCTGATAATGTTTCCTGCTACTAAAAGAGTGATGAGCAATCACTAGAACTCCTGGGACCATCCCACCCTGGATCTTGGAGGGCTGTTCCCGTGACCTTCCCGCCACAATATTTTCCATACCAAAAAAGGGACATGTTTAAAGCTGAAGTCCTCTTGTGCTCTCTATTTATGGAAAAAAAAAGATTTTTTTAAAATTTTAGAGGGGGGCACAGGGGCTTCAAGAGTGCAAGGGACCTCTTAAAACATGGCAAAAGTGCCCACCACATCCCTAGAGAACACAAGACAACGGCACAGATTGCTTCACATTAGAGTTCTAACAAGCCACTTCCTCCAGGCAGGGCACTTCACTCCACGCACACCAGCCCTGTATTCAAGCATCAATTTGAACAGATACTGGAATTATATCTGTAGTGGGAAATGTGGGTACATACATAAGCCTCATTCTCTGGTATGTCCCCACTGCTGAGACGTGGAGGTCAGTTAGAGCACAGAGATCTGAGGAGGAAACTAAATGCCTGGTAGAACTCCTTTGGTCAAGAACCCCGATAAAAGCAGGTCCAACAATCACTGAAGATCTATAGGCATATTCTGCTAACCATGCTTACAAGTTCCTCTTTAAACCTTTCCATTCAACAGATGAAGGTCTAACTCACTTCCAAGTGACGGGGATATTGAAGGGCAGGGAATGTAGCTCTATTGATTAATGGCTCAACAGAACTACTCACATGCATGGTTTTGTTTTTCCTTCTCCAGCACTCAGTCTGCATTCCATGGCTACTAAACATATTCAGAACCCACTAAGATGGGGTTCTGTGGGTTAACTTACTAATTAATTTTATCTTAATTTTAATTTTATTTCATCTTAGTGGGTTCTGTGTGCTAACTTTTATCCATCTTAATGGGTTCTGTGTGTTAACTTTTATTCATTAAAGCTATCTCCCATTAGGCCTCACAGCAACTTGATGGGAATAGGCCTTCCTCCATCCTTCCCCTCACTCTGCCCATTCCAGAGTGAGCAGGGAAAATGAAAAGCCAGTATTCTGTAAGGCTGTATGACAATGAAGTAGGCTGGGAACACCCACAATTTTCTCCCTTCCTGCCTACCTCTAACAGCTATAGACATCTCCACTTTGGATCGTGTGAAGGTAAGATATCAAATCATCTAGCATGGTTCACTACCTTTGAAAGCATTTACCTGTCTTTGAATCCCCTCAGTACTTTCTGAATTAGAATGGCTTTCTCTTCAAGGACTTTGTCTCGTTGCACCTCCAACAGGGTATCATGATAGTCCTGTTAAAGAATGTAAAGAAATAATAATAACCACACACAGTGTTCACATTTACTGAAACATTAATATGCACAAAAGCCCTCTGTCACCTGGACAATGTGATATTTTCTTGATTTTATTTCCTGACAACCAGGATGGAGAGTAACAAAATGTTAATGATCTTCTTCCAAGTGCTCCGATCTCAAATAAGAGCATGTTAATCAAAGCATATCAAGTCAACATATAATATAATAAAGTGACATGGACTGGATTATCTTCAAGGAATCAGGCTTTATAATGAAGGTGAGAGACGATACTGAGCCCAATTCATTTGCAGTGCAGCCTTTCACATATCTACTCAAAGGTAAGTCACCCTGAACTCACTGAGTGTTATTTCTTTTTGCTTATCTCTGAGTGGATATATCCATAATTACACTATTTGAAAACCTCTGAGCTTACCTGGGAGTAACCCCATTAATAACAGCTAGACTTCTAAGAAAGAGCATGTAGGTTTACACTTTTAGTAATTTAAAGTTCTACTTAGGTGTACGTCTGTTACATTTAAGATCAACCTGTCGGTTACCTACTGTAACTTACTTTCAAAAAAACTTTGGTTCTTCCAATTTTCCATTCATCATCTTTTCCTATTATGTTTTCACAGATATAAATACAGCACCGGCAAGCATCATTGTTTAGCTGCAAAATAAACTCTATTATCATATTTGATCTGAATTAGAAATACAGAGGCATCATCATAAATGTCTGTGAAATCATACTTTAGAAGTGCCCTTTTTATACTATTCCAATTTGATATATTCCTTTCCCCTTTTTTTATTTGTATATACTGTTCCATACTGAACGGAATTTAATCCTGAAATTAAGTCTATATTTATTAAATAAACAGCATCCAAGAGATTTTAGACTTACATGTATACTAGCCCCTTAAAACAGGATGTTTAAGTCACCTTTTCCTTCAAATATACCTGTTCTCGAGCTGATACTGGCTGCAAGAATTTGTATCTCTCAAAGAATTCTGCAAAACTATAGCGAATTGGATAGCCTGCTTTCCTAATCCGGATGGTTTCCATCATCCCAGAGTACCTTAGCTGTCGAATGCAGAGCTCTCGATCAAAATGCTGGAAGAAAACAAGCAGCCAAATTTACCACATTAACAACCTGAACATATACTGGAGTATTCTTGTTTTACTCTTTCACACCCCAGTGGTCCTAATGAAGTACACATTTATATATCGTCCAGAATCACATTTTTGGTAAAGAGTAGCAGGTGAAACACTGGCATAAGCCAGGGATGCCAACAAAGCTCGACATTTGTTCAAAATGAAGTCAGTGAACTTCCCCCACCAACTTCTATTTGGTTCTTAAAAGCAACCAAACCTCCCCCCTCATAAAAATGCACTGGGTGCGAAAAAAAGTTGGCAAAGTATGAATGATCCTATGAAAAGTTTAGATTTCACTGTAGTATTTCTGTATGTGTGTGTGTGTTGGAGAAGCTTACTTTCAAAAAGTCTGTGAAACACTTACTGTAACCTGCCCACAAAGGCTGGGGATGATGGGAATTGAAGTACTTTGTAGCTGAATGACTTGTGTCCAGGGAAGCCTGCTCCACTGGATTTAACCAAGACAGCTTCAAGTTTAGAATGAACATATTACTTCATTTTATTATTACATATATTTTCAGTTACTCCTGCACACATGGATGGGGCAAGCCAAAAATCTAGGAAAATATATAATTAATTAAAGACCCATTTACTACTAGGTGTATTTCCTCCAACCCACCCAGTGGGTGTTACAGACTGTATTGATCTAGATATTTTAATGAAATATTACCATAGGCTTCTTGTAATCATTGGGTTTGAGACAGCGGATAAAATATGGCTGGCAGTTACCCAGGATTTTCATCAGTTGCTCCAGGGACTGTTTGAACTGACCACCTAGTGTAGAGAGGCGTTTGGTGGTGTCTGATCCCTGGGGAGGAGAAGCACATAGAAGCCTTGGGTGCCAGTTTAACATCAACATGCACTTCATAACATATTCTTGGAAAAGAAAACATATACAGTACTTAAGTGGTAGAATACACATTTGAAAGGTAAGATGCTGATGAGGTACATTTTGCTTGAAGCTGTCAAAAATCCCATAATGGAACTGATAAGTGACTTAACTGTACACAGTGAAATCCTTAACTACTGTATTTTCTTTCCAGTATTAATTTACTTTCAAAAATTGAAAAAAACATAAGTATTAATAAATAAAACTTTAGGACTGAACTGCATTTTTTATGATAGACTCATTTGCCCATTAATCCACTGTGTCTCCCAGTAAGCACTTACATTTGAAAGGAAGAGAATGTCTGTAAACTTGTTGGAGACATACAGCAGAGAGGAACTACATGTTTCAGATTAGCTGTAGTAAGCTTTTCAATACAGGTTATCTGAAAACAGGTGCAAACCCAATTCCTCGCATTAACGCAGGACATGAAGGAGTCGCTAGCCTGCTGGCTGACCAGGGCTGAGAAGGTTCTCTCACCCCACTATTTAGGGCTCTGGGGTCAGGGCAGTAGCTGATTTGCTTGACATACTGCAAAAAGGAAAACACTGGAGCTGCCCCGACCTCCAGCAAGAACAATGTCACCAGCTAGGCAGCGCAAGGTGGCCAGGAAGCCTCCAAGCACTGGCTCGGCATCTACCCTGTTCCTCCTTGAGGGGACACTCCAGCAACTACACTTTTCCTGCATGCCAAGCCCAGACTCTGATCCTGTCAATAGCTGGGAAGGCTCCCGGCACTGACTGCTAACGGAAGTCCTGGTGCAGTTGATAAAAATGTGTATTGGTGTCATTTTTAAACCACACCAAGGCTTCCGTCATGTGCATCAATCCAAGTCACTGCAAATTCATTTCATGGCAGTGAAGTTCCAGCCCAGGTGCCAAGGAACACCATCTCTGCAACTGATCTTTATGGTCTCTTTATGTGTATTTATACAATGTCCCATTTCTGTTTGTGCTGCTGCCCTCCTGTGGCCAAAAAATCCAAGCAAATGGAATGATCCTTAGTCTGCACTACAGGATCCCTGTTAGACGTCTTCTGAATTGTTGGCACAGACATTTAAAGTAAAGGTGATAGATGAAAACAGCAGGTTGTTTGAACATCTTTTAACATAAGGCAGAAAATTTTAATAAAAATATATTCATTATTTACCAAAACAATTGTGTTGACACACAAAATTGGAAGAATTACAACCTATATTAGTAAATTCAGCATCACAAATGCTTTAGGCAACATTGTAAGAGTAGCCCCTGCTAGTTCTGAAGGATGAAGGGCACTACTGTAGTTAACAAAACCCTACAGACAGAACAACTGAGGGAAGAAAGCAGATGCAAGAAATTAAATTTATAAGCACTTACGAGTACAGGTATAAAGAAAAAAGTGAAAAGAGAAAACCATTCTGTGTTTCAGCAATAATCTCTACTGCAGGCTAAGAGCTACAAAATTTAAAAGTAAAAGAGCTGTGTGGTTGAGTGAGAAGGACGGATTAAGGGCAGGGGAAGAGAGACAGAGAAGGAATTATATATATTTACTCACTTCTGCATGGTTTTGTAATCCTGCAAAAATAGCTCAATGCTAGAGGATTAGAAAACAAATGATATGATGGCTAATACTAAAGAATATCTTAAATGAATGGGATGAGATATATGAATATCACTAATTGTACAAATGGAACATTCATAGGAAAAGCAGGCAGAAGATAGATCAAGGTTTACTGCTTGAGCTTCAGGTGGTTGGCAGTATACAAATGTCAAACTTCCAAGACTGCAATAGCAACAAGTCCCTCCCTAAATGGTTGTTGTGTGTCATCAAGTCAGAACCAACTTATAGCGACCCTACTACAGCATTCAATATAAGTGCTATTTTTAAGGAGTGGCTTTACTATTTGTTTGTTTAATGCAGCCTTTCTCCCCATAAGGGGACCCAAGGTGGCTCACAACAGGCAAAATAAGAAATTTTAAAACACTACATAAATATCACATTTAAACATGCATTAAAATTAAAACCATCAAGTGTTTAAAAAAACCCTAAAACCTATAAGCTTAAACCCACCATTCCTGAGATAACTTATTGTTCAAAGGCTTGCCTGAAGAGGAAGGTCTTTGCCTGAAGACAGAAGGATAAGAGGGAGGTGGGCCAATCTGGTTTTTTGGGACAGTGCATTCCTGGGAGCAGCCACTGAGAAGGCTCTCTGCCATCTCCTCACCAAGTAAGTTTGGAAAGGTGATGGAACTCGACCCAAATAAACCCACCATTCCTGAGATAACTTATTGTTCAAAGGCTTGCCTGAAGAGGAAGGTCTTTGCCTGAAGACAGAAGGATAAGAGGGAGGTGGGCCAATCTGGTTTTTTGGGACAGTGCATTCCTGGGAGCAGCCACTGAGAAGGCTCTCTGCCATCTCCTCACCAAGTAAGTTTGGAAAGGTGATGGAACTCGGCCCAACAGACTGGCACCCAGTGAAGCTATTGTCATAAGAGAGTTGCATATAAGTTCTCATTCTAATAGTGAGAATAAACCTTGGGACATAACAGGTTCTTGAGGTATTTTATTCCTCAGTTCTACACCTGCTTTCTTGAGACACTGTTTTGTAGTAGCTTCAAGTGAAAACTAAAATGGGTCTCAGTTACAAACTCATAGGGTACTTGCTCCTGAACAAGATAGCCTACTTTTACTCTAGAGGAAAGGTGAGCAACCCTGAGTGCCCACTGGAAGGACAGATCCTGAAGCTGAGGCTCCAATACTTTGGCCATCTCATGAGAAGAGAACACTCCCTGGAAAAGACCCTGATGCTGGGAAAGTGTGAAGGCAAGAGGAGAAGGGGACATCAGGGGACGAGATGGTTGGACAGTGTCACTGAAACTATCAACATGAATTTGACCCAACTCCGGGAGGCAGTGGAAGACAGGAGGGCCCTGCATGCTCTGGTCCATGGGGTCACGAAGAGTCAGACATGACTTAATGACAAAACAATAACAACAAAAGGTGAGCAATACCCTGGGAGCAAGTTGTGGTCACTCCACTGGACTCACCCAGCTTGCCAGAATTGCACCATTGCTGCTATTGTTGCTACCACTCCAACTGTCTCTTAGTAAATGTACAAGTGTTTATTTTTCTTATTAAGGTATTTCTTCTCCAAGCAGGTTACCTGTCCAGAAGTAGGAGGTGATGTCCTGGACTGCACAAAACTACATCTGGACAATGACTGATGGCAAAAGGACAGCGAAAGCAGAATTTAGAGAAAGCAAAGAGGAGAGTTAGCAGATAGATTCTAGAAACAGAGCACAATCATTTTTTTGTGATTCATTTTAGCATGTAAGTTGAAAAACGACAAATTCCTGGTGGATGCAAGCTGGTGCAAATATGTTTCTATGGAACATACCTGAGAAACATCTGTACAAGTAAACCACTTAATGGAAATCAAATCTCAATCCAAAAAAATTGTACCAGTAGAACAGAGGATTACTATCCTAGAATGGCCACCTCAAAATGATAATTTATCAAAACTGTAAAATTACAGTGCACCCCTTCTGCAAGGAGCAGAGATTAATATATTTTGGCAGATCATTTTGATTATTTTTACAACAACCCTATGAAGATGTTTGGTCTCGAAGGTCATCTAATGAGCTTGACAGCTAAGAGAAGATCTGAACTCAGATTTCTCTGGTCCAAGACCAAATATGCTGGTTAAATGCTAACATGTGTGCCCTTGATTTCCCAATGTTGCTATGATTACAACTTCTGACTTGTCCAGATGGAACATTTATTTCCTTTTGTGCATGAATGATACCAGCATTTTTGTGGCATCCAGATAATGAAAAGCTTACAACACTACCAGCTGTGAGAAATTGTGACAAAACCTTGTATTTCTGTTTGTTAAACTCTCTCTTGTAGGTGTTCTGTTTACTTCCTTTTGCACAGGTGACAGAGTTGAGATAGCAAGAGCTTCTCCAGTAATAAGCTTTCAATTTAGCATTCTTCCATTATTAAAAAAAAAACTCAAACACACACATACGCATGCACACATACATCCAGCAAAGAATATCATTTTGAAAGGGTTTTTGTAAGATTTATAAGGAGTAGATTGTGAAGAAGGCCAATCTGAAAAATGGATTAATTTTTGGATGTCTGCTGTGCCACAATCTTTCAATCCGATGCTATTCCACTTAAATTAAAAAAATAAAAAATAAAACACTCCTCACCAAAACCCAGCAGAAATCATTATTCTAAAGTTTCCTCCAGATTTTTGGAGGGTTTTTTCCAAGTACCAGCAGGTATTCATTGCTATCCAAAGCTTTCAGTTTAGTGCTAATTAATAGCAAAGGAAGTGGGGAGAGACCCAGCAGATAAGACTGCTTTTAAGGATTTCAAAAGGTTTCTTCAAGGTTTTTGAAATAATTTGTACTCATTTTTTAAAAAGACACTGAGTTCTTAGGAAAGGAGTGGGGTTTTAATTATAAATATGGAGAGAAATTACTGCAAAATCTCTGTTCCGACCTGGAAGGAACAAATGCTTCTTCTGGACATACCAGTTTAACACAGGAATTGTCTCAACTCAGCTTGCTCCTTTCCTTCAGCTGAGTTCAGCTTTGCAGTAGCAATCCAAAATCAGTCTTATACCTGTCACTCAGAAATGACATTTATGAACTGCAAAGGACACTGCCACCACACAGGCTAGCGTATAAGATGAATGACACCTGCTACCTATTACTTCATTTGGTTGAATCTGGTAACTTTAATGGTGTATTTTGCTATGGTTGACCAATTCATATACAGTATTTAAATTAGGAATGTCCTTCTTGCATTCTAACAACTGAAGTATTTTATTCAGCCTATTACTCTCAGATTTTGGAATGTCAGACAAATCAATTCCAGCTTGTTCAGACAATAGGGCAAAACAGCTATCTGATAGAAATTGTTCAAGAATAATATGCAGAAGTAACAATGGTGATCTACAAACTGACTCAGAAGACAAAGTGAGGCTAAGAGACAGAGGAAAGACTTAGGTTCAAAATCAATGTAAGAAGGCTAACCTTGAGGGGATCCACAGCAAGATGTTTAATGCTGCCACGGCCAAAAGACACCACATTCATGTTTGTGTCTACCTGGAAGATCTGTCTGAGGAACTTGTTTTTAGATGAATGAACCAACTGCATTATGTCTGAGCTAAGCATGTCACGGTTTTTCTCAAGAAAGCCTAGGAGTAAGAAAAAAAGGAGAGTTCATCATTTGCATGATGGCAATTTTAGATCTATACTCAGCTTGCTTAACCACGTTCTCTCCTCAATCTTCTCTCATCTCTTTTAGCTGATCCTCTTGTGTAGGAGTAGGTGTAGCTGGGGGTGCAAGTACACAATAAGAAAAATGCAAATGGATCTGCTGCAAAGTCACACAGGGAAATTTTGCTTCCCCAACTGAATTCACTTTAGCTGACTGACCACAGAGGAGTCAGGACACAGAAAGACAAAACTGGTAAACAGTCTTGTTTGCAGTTTGTTAAGGTAGTACTTCTGTGGCCATCCAGATATGCAGGAGGCACAGGTAGAGTACAGCTATCTTAACTTGCTAGAAACAAGGCTGATTGAATTTCCTCCTTTTTCTCTGCTGACTCTTCACTCTTCCCTGCCCCCCCTTATCATCCTAAGTTCCCCAGCACTAGGGTGACGAACCATTAAAAGAAAAAAAAATGGAATGGAACAGGTTGAGAAGAGAAGAGAAGACTTGGGCATCTAGGAGGAAAGGATTCAAACACCACCCAGTTTCCCTGCTGAACAAATTGATAATCATATGCATGGACAGAGAGCTGCTACTATTAAATCACCTTTTGACTGATAATAAACAGCACCGGCAAAATGGTTGATCCCAAAAACTGTGTCATGGACACTCCTTGGTGGAATGTAGATTTTGCTTTGGCCATGATGGAGGTTGATTTTGTTTAACATGGTTGTATCTGTTCCCTGGGGGAAAAAACATAACACAAGAAGAAACGAAGTTCATTCACTATTTGCATGGCAATATACTCAAAAGAACATATATACTGTATGCCATACTAAACACACAGTAAAGCTGTGTGGCATTTATAGAATATAAATCCTGGAAGCACAAGATAATCTTATCTCAGGTATGTCCTGCCCATACAACAACTGAGAAGCAGGAAGGCAGGTTGCAACAGTCAATAAAATTCCATCTCCCTTTGCTAGATGGCCCTTCCCCCAGTCTGTCATGACTAACTGTGCATGTCCGAAGGTGTGTGCCTGGAAGAGAATGGAGTCCTGTTAGTGTGCCACTCACCTGTCAGAGCTAGTTCAGTTGGTCTTGAGAATGTTGTTGGTGGGGGATTTCACATCCATGCTGAGACTACCTTTTCATGAGTTGCTCAGGACTTCCTATCCCATGAAACTGCTGGGAGAGGTTATCTAAAGTGTTCGCTGCCATCAAAATGCTGATGACAACCAACTCTCCTTTGCATCTACATATGAGGAAGCTAATTTGTTTCTAAAGCAGTGTCTGGTATTTCAATAGACTGCATGAAGGTGAACAGATTGATACTTAACCCAGACAAGGCGGAAGTGTTCCTGGTCAGTGCAATGCAGATCAGGAAACAGATGTTCAACCTATGCTGCCTGTGAGTCTGTGTCCCTTGCAATTTGAGTATTCTCCTGGATTCAACCCGGTTTCTAGATGCTCAGATGCTTGTAGCAAATGGGAATCTATCTGCATATTTAAAGTAAATTTGTTACTTTTCAGATTTTCAAATAAGACTCTAAGATGTGGGAAATGACAGGAAATATAACTGCAAACACCCAGCTTAGTGTTGCTCCTCGTAAGTAAATAACACAATCAGTGAAATAGTAGGCCTGAATACCACTCAGGCAAAGGTTCTGGGAGAAAATTCTACTGAACCCCCTTCCACACACACACATCCTGCCATTATTGGCCGCAATTAAAAGCAAAGCAACCTCTAGTTAATGGACTATCATTTTTTGCTTCTCCTTGGCAGACTAGGACCATCAGAAAGGATTAGCCAGGTGTACAAGGGTGTGAATAGGTCAGAACAAGTTGAGAAAAAAAAGGACATGCACAGAATGTGCCACTTTCAAAACCACTGAAAGACAATAAATTGTTGTATCATTCATCCTGGTGTTCACATGTCTGCATTAAGCTGCCTGGCTCAGGTTTCTGGAAGCCTCCCAAAGAAGCAAAAGAGCCTAACTAGTGCCAAATAGAGGGGAACTAGTACCTCACAAGATCTGAAGACTATTCTGTTAATAGAGCCTAGAATAGCATTTGCCTTTTTTGTAACTACATCACACTGTTGGCTCATATTCAGCTTGTGATCTACAATAACTCTACAATCCTTTTAACTGGTAGTGTTACTGAGACAGGTATCCCCCATCTTGGAACTGTGTGGTTGGTTTCTTTTTCCTAGATGCAGTACTTTGCATCTGTTGCATTTTATTCTGTTATTTTCAGCCCAGTGTTCAAACCTATTTCGATCATTTTGAAATTTCTACAGAAACATTTTGAAATTTCTGCAGAATGGAAGCCATCCAATGTATCTGCTGACCAATTAATTTCAAAGAATGTATATGTGAGTTATATCTTGCAAAGGCTTAGATGAAAAATGATACTCACCTTAGGGAACCTACTTTCCTCATCAATGAGTGAAACAATATTCATTGGTCTGAGGGCAATCACTTCCAAAGCTGTACTGTTATCTGTGAAGTCAATGTGACTCCAGCTGATGTGCTCAGCCAAGTATTCCTTCTGTTCCAATTTGAAGATGTGGAGTACAAAAAACTGCTGGAGATGCTCATTGGCAAAGTTGATACAAAACTGCTCGAAACTGGAGAAGCACAATTAAAGGGAAGCCATTGAAATCCACAAGCACCAGCAGAAGTTCAACAAAAAAGAGTAAAGTGTGAAGCTTAACAAAACTTGGCTCCCAGCTCTCAAAAATAGTGTGCAAAAGGTCAACGAACTCTACCCAGCCACAAGGACAGGGGATCACTACACACAAAAGACCAGCTAATGACACCCATCAACCACAGTGACAGATAATCTCTTCTCCTTAGCACAACAATACACCCACAACAAGACACACTAATGATCCATCTACAGAAAAAGACGAAAGCCTATCTCACAGCCATAAATACTGCACTCTCAAGCCAACTACACCAGCGCACAGAGTGCTATCCTCTGAAGATGCTGGCCACAGAGACTGGTGAAACGTTAGGAAGAACAACCTTCAGAACACGGCCAAAGAGCCCAAAAAACCCACAACAACCATTAGATCCTGGCCGTGAAAGCCTTTGCGAATACATTAGTTAAATTAGCTTTGCTAATGTTTCCCTTTCTTTTATTCTTTCTTGTGTAGAACTGACTCTACAGAGTGTGGTTCTGTTTCAAAGATCTAGGGCAGAGGTGTCAATCTCAATTTCATCTTGGGCTGCATCATGATTATGGTTGCCCTCAAAAGGCCACCTGTATCTGGAAGACTATATAAATGTATCTACTCTTTATATCTATACTACAAAGAGTGTGAGCTCAGTGGTACATTATGTTAGACTTGCTTTTAAAATGGCATGGGCAACCCTTTCAAGAATCAGTCCTCACAGAAATAAAGCAGCAGATGCATTGGTTTTCTTATTGCCCAAATGGTTACATAACTGTTCTCAGAACAGAGCAGCAGGAACAGACAGATCTTGAAAAACAAGAATGTTTTTTTTGTTTTTGTTTTTAAAAGTTTCTACCAGGACAATTCTGATGCTGCCTAGGCCAGTGGTTCTTAACCTTTCTTACTCGGAAGTTTTTGAACTGCAACTCCCAGAAACCCCAGCCAGCATAGTTGGTGGTGAAGGCTTCTGGGAGTTGCAGTCCAAAACTCCTGAGTAACCCAAGGTTAAGAACCACTGGCCTAGGCCTCTGGATTGCAGCCTGCAGAGGGCACGGGGATGCGAGCCATGGCCACGCCAGGGCACATGGCAGCAGTGCTTCCTCCTCCTCCATCCTTAGAGGGTGGGTGGATCAGAGCCCTGGCAGCGAGGAACACAAGGCATTCAGCAGCCAGGTAGTCCAGGCTGGACATGCCGCCTGGAGGGCGTGGGGACGGCCAAGATCTGCGCCTCTCCACACAGCTGTGCACCCCTGAGGGCGTGCCTGTCCTTGATGGGTAGAGGGGGAGGCCACAGTGACACACGTGGATCTCCCGGTGGGGCTTGGGATTGGGTTTGTTAGCCTGCTTCCTGGCTCACCACCCTGCCTGGCCGGCCCTGGCACAACATGGAGGAGGGAGAGGAAGGTGAAGCAACAGGGCCACTGCCGCCACCCCCCCATCTCTGCCCAGCCAGGGCACACCTCTCGCCCTCCTGGCCGGCCAGCCCCACCTCCCTAGGGCATGTCAGGATGGCAGGGAAAGGGAGGAGAGCCCGGAGCGTGCTGACACAAGGCGGAGCTTTCCTCACTGCTCACCTCCTCCCTGCCACTCATCTGTCCCGGCGACCCGGTCCTTCGAAGGCCATGGACCGGGTTGGGGACCCCTGGTGTCCTGGGCAGTAGCAGAGGGCCCCGACCCTGCAACACTGAGATTCAGTTCAAATTCACCAATGCCTGGTCTAAAGTAAATTGCAGGATGAATGACCGATGTAGTTGTCTCCTGTGCTTTGCTCCAGAGACCTGTTTGCTTAAAATTCATGCACTGCGAGGGCCACATGAAAGAGCCTAGCAGGCCAGATTCGGCCCACGGGCCTTGAGTTTGACACATGCAATCTAGGGAACAGATGTGAATTCCAACCAACCCCCCTTTTTTAAGAAACGGGAGTAAACTCTTGCTTCTCTGTTCCAAAATCCCACAAAGAAATTAGTTTGAATGAATATACCTGTTTGTGTTAAAATTTTCAAAACCAAAGATGTCCAGTAGCCCAATGGACCTGCGTGTGTCTTTATGATCTGGAGAGGGCGGGTTGTAAATTGCAGCATTGATTTTATTTACTATCCAAAGAAAAAGAAGCCCGTAGATACCCTGGAGGTAGAAAAGGAAAATGAGGAATTTGGGCTTTAGAGTGAATAGTTGCACCAGCACCAACACACAGCATGAGAAACTGACCCCATGAATGGACAGAGTCAAGGACAAGACCATTTCCCTTGTGAATTATGCAGCTCTGCAGAAGACCATCTAAAATTCACATGTTAAACAAATCAAATAGAAACAGGAGAATCGCAAACAGGACACTAATTGCCATGTTTCACCCTTAGGTAATGACGAGAACCTTGCCTCTCCTACTCTGAAAATAATAACCATTCATAACTGCAACTGAGAAATAGTTTGAAAAAGCTTTTTTACCTTGACAAAGGCATCTCTCACATCAGCAGCCTGAGCCACACTTAGAGGCATGGACACACTTTCCCCTCGGATGATGATAGAGCGGTTTGTAAGGCTACTGTGAAGCTCCCCAGAATCCACCTGTTTGAATTAATAATGAATTTCATAATCTTACAGAAATACCAAATTAGAGACAACCTCTAGCGTATCCAGTCCATTCGTGTTCCATTTGTGCTCTTCATGGCAATACTTTGTGATTGTGCCTTGAATATTTTTGAATATTTCAGTCTTCAGATTCTCCTACTCCTCCTGATCTGTTTCTTCCATCAGAAGATCTACCACACATTCCTAACCATTTTTTCATTGAGGCTTTTAAAAAACAGACTTTTCTTTTGAAACTTTCATTAATACATACATAAAAGATGGCATGGTCACTTCCCTTCAAAGTTACCATATAGATCAAAAGTGAGGAACTCGATAGATCCCAGAGATTGAATTTATCCACTACCCTCCCCTGAAGTCATCAGGTGTCTCTGCCTCCTGATACCTACTTCAGTTTTATGTGTGTGTAGAGAGAGAAAGGGCCTTGCATAAGGCAGAAAGAGACCTTTTTCTGCACAGAGAAAGGGACCTAAATAGCACTCAAAAGAGCAGCTGTCAGTCAAATTTAAATCTACAGAATGATCTGAAAAGGTACAATGTGGTGGAGAGTTAAAAACACTGAAAGAAATGTAATAATATGTTATAATGACTGGAATCTGTTGAACAGTGTAAGCAAAACCTTACATTTTGGTCTGTTCCTTGTGGGTAAATAAAGAGTGGTGTGATTCTTGAGCGTGTGCTGGCTTGCTGTGTACACATGCACCCCTCTGAGAATCCCAGCAGGCCTCTATTTACCGGCAAGAAACAGAACAGATGTTACACAATAGGCTATTGGTCAATATGCAATTAAAGAAGAAATATAATACTATTAAAGTGTAATGCCAATACCTCAAGCAGTTTGGTTGCAATGGAAAAGTGTGCAGAATCCAAGACAGCAGAGCAATCCAAGTTATCATACACTGCAGCTAATTAAAGGAAGGAAACAATTTAAGTAAGCATTGGTAACAAAGAATGAAGCATGTGTTTTTTTCTCATTCAAGAGGAACTATTAGGCTAAAGAACACACTGGGAACAAAAATGCAGGCCCTGTAAAACATAATGGCATGCTCCTGTTCTATAACATGACATAACAGGCTCGAAATGGTAGCCACCTCTAAGGATGGGATCATCTTCTTCGAAGGATATGTAAAGGACTGTACTGACATTAAAAAGCAATGACAATTTAAACAATCATAAAAAGATCCTTGCCATGATATTTTTACATCTGCTTCTTTTCCAAAATGTTAGATCCCACACAATACAAGGGAAAGTATCTTTGCAAGACTAGTTAATTTCAACATATTCTATTAACTGTGTGAAATGCAGCTTTAAATACTATATTTCTGATGGTTGTTGTAGGTTTTCCAGGCTGTTTGGCAGTGTTCTTAAGGTTTTTTTTTCCAGTTGAGTTTTAGACTTTCTTCTTTTTAGTTGAAGTAGGTGTACTTCAACAAAAAAGAAGAAAGTCTAACCTCAAGAAAGCCTGGCTCCCAGCACTGAAAAATACAGCCTGCAAAAGGTCAACAAACTCTGCCCAGCCACAAGGACCAATGATCACTGCACACAAAAGACCAGCTAATGACACCCATCAATCAGAGTGAAAGATCATCTCTCCCCCTTATCACAACAATACCCCCACAACAAAAAACACACTGATCACCATAATCACCCAATGTCCTGAAAAGGACAAAAGCTGAACCCACAGCTATAAATACTCAACTATTCAACAAACTGCACCAGAGCACAGACAGAGTTCTGACTCCTGTCCTCTGAAGATGCCGGACACAGAGACTGGTGAAACATTAGGAAGACAAACTTTAAGAACAGGGCCAAACAGCCTGGAAAACCCACAACCATCAGATTCCGGCTGTGAAGGCCTTCGAGAATATACTATACTTCTCTTTAACTGAAATGTTCTTGTTTATATAGTAGACATAACCACCATGCACTCATGTTAACAAATTATATGATAAGGAAACACTATTTAGAGAAAATTAACAAAAACAGATGTTTCAGGCCACAATATATATTTTTATACCCCCATCCACCTACATTTTTCTCCTACTTCAAGTGCATGGGCACACCACATTTACCTTCAAATTCTACATTCCCCAGGTGCAAAATGGCTGCCAGCAACTTGCTTATGTCCCAGTGCTCAGAATCGGAGAACATTAAGATCTTCATAGCAGAGCGTATATGGGCGTATTCCTTGGCATCATTACGGCCTTCACATGAGGTACAATCACCCTGCAAGAAAACTCTAGGATAACACATGCGGTCTTACATGTAATAATATATATAAAACATAAAAATGTAACAAATTATGACAAAAAAATACACAGACACTAAACAGAAAAAAGGGTACAGAATACGGAACATCTTTGCAGTGTTATTATCAACTAGCTGCAGAATAGCAGTTTGACAACAATCCTCCAGGAACCAATCTGCAATACCTTCCCCTTCTGTTTACTCAGAAACAAGTTTTGAATCATTTAGTGAAGCCTACTGTCAAATAAGCATGGGTATGACTGCACCCTTAGTTCCAAAATGCAAGTCCTGTACACGTGCAACTACTTAGAAAAAAACCTCACAATTTGCTCTGCAATTGGCACAGATGAATTCAAAGAATTTTTCAATAATCATTTGACATAAAGGTCAATGCAAATCAGCTGGTCCTTTTTTCCCCTTCCAATCCAGAGTTTCTTCTCCTGACAGTGGTGTAGTGACTCAGTGTTTTGCCTGTGTGATCATCTATTTCATTCTACAAAATATAAATACTGCAGGGAGCATGACTCTGAGTGGTTTTCTGCTGACCTAGAAAGTTGAGGTATGATGTTTGGGACAGTACAAACCCCCTTAATCTCTCTCTCTCTAGTCCAGTCCAAAGCCTTTGATTTTTTTTTACAGAGCAAACTGTTGAGTCTCATGCTAGATCACTGCACTGCAACCTCCTCAGACAGCAATTTTCCCATGGTGTGTGTGTGTGTTTATATGTGTATGGAGAACTCTGGAAAACTGTCCCCTTTTCCCTACTGCCATGCAATCCTTTAAATAGTCCCAACAGATCATAAAAAGGAGAACCAGGGATCAGCAGAAGGGTGATATCAAAGGAAAAGGAGCTGTGGGCACTCATACTAATAATAAAGCAGTCAAACAAAGGAGGAAAATACAACATTCAAAATTACAACATAGTCTACAACTAAAAACAGAGTGTGCAACTTATTTGTCTAATTTAAAAAAGCTAATTGTATGCCTCCAGAAAAGAAGAATACAACTTTACTCTGCTACATCATAACAGATGCTTTGGGGGCAGAGTATAGGCTTTGCTTCTGCAGATATTCTAAAAGGATATAATATGTTCCCATTGAAGGAAGTTAACTGTGGCAAGAATAAATACCTTATATTCAGTATAAATTGGTGTCAATATTGATGACTAAGCAAGAAAGAACAGCAACCCACTATAGAAATATTTACTTTGAATATGTTCATGGATATATATTGCCTCCATTTTTAAAAAGAGGTTTTTTTAAATTTTAAAACATACTTCAGGAAGCAAGAATGGTAGCAGAGAGGTATCTGGTGACAGATGTTTCCCTGACCTATTTCTACCTGCCATCTGAAGAGTAGTTAATGAGTGCAAAAGGAACCCATGTATATTCACACTACGATGGAAAACTTAAAAGATAAGAACAGGTTACACTAACATTTTTCTGCTGTCAATCATGTCCTTGTGAGATAGTTTTTAAAGAAAAGAAGGCCATCCTTTGGGTCATAATTATATAGATTTGGATATAAGATGCACTTTGACTCTTAGGCTTGTTTCCTGAATATAATTTATACCTGGAGGCAGAGTAAATAGTATGTTCAATGCCAGGTTTCTCGCTAAGGTTACTATCAAATTCTTACTCTGCCATGATGCTTACATAGTGTGCTTGGGCAAGTCATTTCCTCTCAGTCTAGCCTACCTGATAGTGCTATAGGAAAGATACAATAGGAACATCCCTCAGATATGTTAATTCTAAACTCTTTAGAAGAAGAGGGATTTATTACACATACAATAATTAATATTAGCTGCACCTATTTTTCCTGTGGCCCAAGGCAATGTAACTGATTAACGCAAGAAACGATAAAGAGATATGAATCATAAAAACAGCAACTTGCCATCGTGAGGTAGGTGTATTCAGAAGCAGTGCCCAGGTTCAGCATCTTCTTCTGCTCCATATTCATTCCCATTAACATACAGTAAAATATGTGGTAGTTCCTCTCCTCTGGAGCCTACAATGATGAAAAGATTATAACTGAATCCCTGAATCTCATTTTAGTAGATAGTTTTAATCTTTTTTATGTTTTCAAGTTTTAATATTTTAATTGTATTTTAAATCATATATTGTTTAATTTATCTTTTGATACTTAACTTACAGTGGTGCCTCGACTTGCGAACTTAATCTGTTCTAGAAGATGATCGTAACTCGAACTGGTCAAAAGTTGAAGCACCATTTCCCATAGGAATGCATTGAAATCCCATTAATCCATTCCAGCAGGGGGGAAAAATCACAAAAAACCCACCCCAAAACCACTGCAAGCCCCATTGGAACGCATTTGGGTCAGGAAAAAACCACCAAAAAACCAAAACAACACTGGAAGCCCCATTGGAACACATTTGGGCTGGAAAAAACACGAAAAAAAACAAAACAACACTGCAAGCCCCATCGGAATGCTCTGGGGCTGGAAAAAAATATCACAAAGAAACAAAAGAAAAATCACAGCAGAGAAACATACCCCCCCCAGCCAAAACCCACACTGCAAAACCCTGTATGTACTCACTCAGAAGCAGAAAGCAGCACCAGGCAGTCCAAAGCCTCTCTGCAAACGCACACACTCTAACAGTTGGGGCGAAAGAGCTACAAAGAAGTAGCATCTTCGCTGACCAATAGTTAGCAATTTAGATTCCCCACCTTTCCCCCCACCTTTTTTCTAATCGTAACTCAAAGCTCTGGTTGCAAGTTGAAGCAAAATTTGCAGCCGTAGCTGTTCGTAACTCGAATCGGTCGTAAGTTGGGATGGTCGTAAGTCGAAGCACCACTGTACTGTGTTTTTAAATTGTGTGAATTTTAATGTTGTGAGCCGCTTTGGGTCCCTTGTTGGGAGAAATGCAGGATATAAATGATAATGATAATGATGATAATGATGACGATGACGACAGCAACAACAACAACAACAATAATGATGATGATGATGTAACTACTGAGACAAAAAAGGCACTGAATGAAAAAGTAATGAATTAACATTAAATGCTCATATTCTGAATGTATTTTACCTGGCGACACACTCGAGATTTCTCCAGAAGGAATTGTTCTATCCGGGCTCCTTCGATCACTCCATTTTGGTTGAAGTGAATATCAATGTATTTCCCAAAGCGGCTTGAGTTGTCATTCCGAATTGTCTTGGCATTTCCAAATGCTATGGGTAGTGAAATGCCACGGTGAAGCAAAAACAGATAAGGTACAGTTCTCTGCCCATTGCAAATGTCTCAAAATCCTGAGGTATGAAACATTTTCCTTTTACAAATTAAAAATCAGTTTATTTAATTTATTTTATCTATAGCCCAATGAACCTCAAAGGCTTGGGGTGGATATTTTGTTAAAGGCAGCTGTACAATGGCAGCTACCCTGTTTCCCTGAAAATAAGACCTAACCTGAAAATAAGCCCTAGTATGATATTTCAGGATGCTCGTAATATAAGCCCTACTCAAAAAATAAGCCCCAGTTAAGTGAAACCCTGCCCTCCACCACTGTGCAGCATTGTGCTGCAACCAAAAGAAGATGACATGACTGTAAAATAAAACATCCCCTGAAAATAAATCCTAATGAGTTTTTTGGAGCAAAAATTAAAATAAGACCCTGTCTTATTTTGGGGGAAACACAGTATGTATGTGAGACACGAGGTGAGAGTGTAAAGGCTCTCGCCGGAGTGTCGTTCTCCCTCAAAAGAGAGCAAGAGGCACAGACAAACTTGCCTGCACCGCCCATCGAGAATAAACAGCGGAGAGTTGGAGTGGGAACTGTTGAAAATGACAGTAGCCACACAGACGGGTGGTGAATTGATGGGAAGAGAGGAAAGGGGGAGGTCCGCTGTAGAGGCGGGAATGGGAGATACAAAAGGACAGGTTGACTTGATACCGGGGTTGGGGGGTTGGGGGATGATATGGGTAGAGGACCCATGGACTGGTAAATGGGGAAAGGTGCGGGTTCCCTGAGAGGAAGCCGATTACCAGAGAACAAGGGGTCTACTGCAGCATCCTTCCTATTGGAGGCCAGAGGGTGGTGTAGAAGGCTCAGTGAGGAGAAAGAAGTGGTGTCTAGAGAAGAGAGAGAATGCCACGCATGGCATTTAGAGGAAGCCCAGAGGAGGGGCTACTTAATGGGCTCTGGACCCCTCTACGAGCAGAGGAAGATGCCTATGGGATGGAGGTATGAGACAATGAGACCACCCCACTTCTGAATCCAGAGGTAGAGACTTGTGATTTGGAAACCAGTAACCTGTTTTTGAAAGGACCATGGGACGAGTTAAGTAACAACCCCTTTGTTAAAGATGTTTGGATGCCCTCACCAGACCCGTTGGCGACGAGAGAAAACAGATGTTGAGTTTGCTCAAAAGGATTTAATACAGTATGTTCTAATAAAGGCTAGTTATGGTTTTACAACGGGCATGTCTCCAGAGTCTCAGCTAGATGTTGGGGAGGCCAAATACGAACCCTCACAATGTAACTCTCCAAAATATTTACAGTGGAGTCAGTTAAAAACACAATCTCTGATTTCTTACATACAGTATCAACTGCTGTTATTTAAAAATGCTTAAGTACGTTTCTTAATATTTTCTCTCTTTGAAGGACTGAGAAACTGGAGGTAAAACAATCTGTCATCTGCAGCATCATCTAGTTCAGCTCTAAATTGACTGAGGGTGGAGTGATTTTGGGGGAAAACTTACATTTCTTGTAAGTGCAAAAGATTAAAATGATTAAAGCCACATGTCAATTCTTCTGCTTTGTGTAACCTACCTTCTAAAATGGGATTGGCTTCCAGAATTTGCTGCTCAATCCAGGAATGCTGGCCACTAATAGCAGCTAAGAACTGCAATATCAGCTTTGTGCTTTCAGTCTTTCCAGCTCCAGATTCTCCACTGAAATAAAGAATTTGATCTAATCAAATCAGTAATTGGCTATCTTGACCAAATAAAGTAAGATTTGAGTTCCTTTAGTTCTGTGTTCCTGCTCCAAGGAAAGAAGAGTTCAACTTATATCACCATATCTGTCTGAGATAAGAGCTGTTGTTACCTTTAATCTACATTTTGTGATACTGTGTGTGCCTGTGTTCTTTCTTTTGGATATATTTGGTTCATTTCACCATTTTAGAGCAAGTACTTATTTTATTTCCATCCGACAAGCTGAACTACCTTGTATCACTGAAGCAAGATAATATAAAACTAATCTAATGACCTTAACCAAAATCTGCTTCTATTTCTTCTTAAGCTATTTAAATATTTTCCCATCTTTGGTACAGCATCAAAGTTTGCCCTTTACCTGATGACACAACACTGATCTCTTTTATTTCTCTTCATATTAAAATAGCAGTTGTCAGCAATGGCGAAGACATGAGGTGGCAGTTCTCCAATCCTCTTGTTACAATAGAGTCTGATTTGTTCCACAGTATACAGGGGCAGCACTTGATATGGATTCATGGCTACTAAGATAGAGCCAGTGTATGTCTGAAAAAGAAATATATTTATGACATGGATCTTATGACATAGAACACCAAATCCCAATTATCTCATGTTCTGTCCTGATCTAACATAAAGCAAACTTTACCAAGAAAAATTAAAATACTGGGAAGTAGAATAAATAACATAATACTGTATGTAAAGTTGCCTATCTCCTTCACGAACTACTGAGGACTAGTATCAATGTTGCTCACATTATTCACTTGAAATTAAAATGCTGTTCCTAATCGTTAATAATCAGCAAAGATTCCAAGAGTACATTCCGTCAGAGAATTGAACAATCTCCCAAGCTAAAGATAAAGTAATTAATGCCTGTTAAAAATAATGTGTAGGAGAGCCATATCTCAAAATGCTGTAAAATTATATTTCTTTCTTTAAAATCCTGGTTCATTTCAGCTTGTCAGTTTCTTCCAGCCTTCTTCAGGATGCACTTTGTTGGATCCTTATCAGGGCTCTAATTAGATGTTATTTGATTTCTATTGTGTTCATTGAAGATGATCACAAACCCACCCATTTATTTTAATGGAACAGAAACTGTACAACAAACTCTTTGGTTTAAAAAAACCATGAGGAAGATTTTCTGACTACAGAAGTAGGTTTGTAAAGCTACTTTAATTATGTATATATACTTAAGATAAGGATGGACACTAAGATATATGCTATGACAAAAAGCAAAATTCAGACAACTTGATGTTCTCCAAAGTAGGGTTTTAAAATACAAAGTAGGGTTTTAAAATACAATTTAAAATACAAATACAGTCTCTGATCTGAGGCCATGTATAAATATTTGCCATGTAATTCCACCCATCTCTGAGGAAGGAGGCTTCTCCACAAAAGAGAAGAATTATTGTACTCTCAATCTGAACTCTGTGACCTGACAAAATACAAACTGAAACTTCACATTACTCTTTGAAGGCAATACGTATATAGTTTGTTCACTCACATAGATTTTATCCTCCTTGTAGCGGATAAGGAGGTTCCGTACCATGCCAGCTTCGTTCAGGTCTCCAAGGCAGATCATATCTTCTACTCCATGGACAGAGGCAGGGTGCATCGGTCGCACAGCACCAATGTTCCGTGCCGTGATCCAGTGTTCCTGAAAAAAGGCAATTGTCCACACAGAGCTTTTGTTCAACTTCCCTTGCACCCATAATACCAGGACTGCCAGTGTCCACACAACAGAGGGTTGAAATTAAGCTAAACTGAGTCACAGTGGGACAAAGATCCTTGCTTTCTGTCCATTTTCACACCACTGCTGGGTGATGATTGATCAGATCAAGTATAATACGGTCACAATACGGTTTAATACAGGTGGTGGCATATTTTTGTTCCACTCTGCTCCAATTTGGTTCAGTGCAGGAACTGCTCATGTGGACTCTCGTACTGGCTTGAGTGGGTGTCATTTCTGCTGGTGAACCTTCACCCCTCTGCATATTCCATGGATGGACAAAAGAAAGAGGGATAAGAGCAGAATAAAATAGAGACAAGACAGAGAAGACAGGCAAAAGGAGAGGGCAATTTGTGTTGGTAGAAAGACATCAGGGAACAGATCCAGATGTGGGTGGACAGGCAGTACTGGTGTAACCAGTGTTTTCCAGTAGACCCAGCAACAACTACCCTTCTCATGTGTGAATGCTAACACCTTGGGGATCTATTCAAATCTGTCACACAAAAAATACTAGAATGTCCCAGAATGAATGGAAACAATATCTCTGTGTTCTTGTTGTTGTTTAGTCATTAAGTCATGTCCGACTCTTTGTGACCCCATGGACCAGAGCACACCAGGCCCTCCTGTCTTCCACTGCCTCCCAGAGTTGGGTCAAATTCATGTTGGTAGCTTCAGTGATACTGTCCAACACTCTTCTCCTCTGTCATCCCCTTCTCCTCTTGCCTTCACACTTTCCTAACATCAGGGTCTTTTCCAGGGAGTCTTCTCTTCTCATGAGATGACCAAAGTATTGGAGCCTCAGCTTCAGGATCTGTCCTTCCAGTGAGCACTCAGGGTAGATTTCCTTCAAAATGGACATTTTGGTTCTCTTTGCAGTCCAGGGGACTCTCAAGAGTCTCCTCCAGCACCACAATTCAAAAGCATCAATTCTTCGGTGGTCAGCTTTCTTTGTGGTCCAGCTCTCACTTCCATACATCGCTACTGGAAAAACCACAGCTTTGACTATGTGGACCTTTGTCGGCAAGGTGATGTCTCTGCTTTTTAAGATGCTGTTGAGGTTTGGCATCGCTTTCCTCCCTAGAAGCAGGCGTCTTTTAATTTCGTGGCTGCTGTCACCATCTGCAGTGATCGTGGAGCACACAAAAGTAAAATCTGACAAGGCCTCCATATCTTCCCCTTCAATTTCCCAGGAGGTGATAGGACCAGTGGCCATGATCTTAGTTTTTTAGATGTCGAATTTCAGGCTGTTTTTTGCACTCTCCTCTTTCACCCTCATTAAGAGGTTCTTTAATTCCTCCTCACTTTCTGCCATCACAGTGGTATCATCTCTGTTTAGATGAGCCCTAATCAGGATGGATTTTATATACTGGCTCAGATAACTCAGGAGAGATAACTTCTGAGATTTTTTCATTATCCCATTAGAAAACAATTCACATCCAGTTGTGGCCATCAATTCAAGACACCTACCATATCCAATACTGTAGCTAGATAGTTCAGTCAGTTAAGTATCTGGTTGCAAAATCAGACATTGGGAAATTGATTCCCCACTGTGGTTCCCAAAAGTAGAACCAGTGTGTTTAATCTTGGGCAAGCTGCACAGGATGCTCCTAGTAGAATGGAATGGTAAGCAACTTCTGAGGACTCTACCTAAAAAAAAACCCTGGAAAGGTTGCCATAAGTCAGAGTTGACTTACTGGCATACAATTATCATTACCATGTGCAACAATATCTGGATCAATGGCTGTGTTTAGGTTTACTTCTGACATTTCAGCTATGTTATACAACATTTGGCCCTGCAGAACAAATGATAGTAGTCTACCTTGCCTTCATCATCCTCCACCAAGAATCGTCCTGAGTCTGAAATCTTGACAACTGCACCAATAGGTACATTAAACTCACTGCTTGAAGGGGATTCCAGCCATATGTGATCACCCTGGGGAGGCGGGAGAGAAGAGGATTTAATAGAATCGTAGAATCTTAGAAAAGTGAAGTTGGAAGGTGAGTTCAAAGCCATCAATTCCAACCCCTTGCTGAACACAGGAATACAATCAAAGCATATCTGCCAGGTGATGACCTAAGTTTTGCCTTGAATGCCTCCAGTGTTGGAGAACTCACCAACTCCCGAGGTAACTGATTCCACTGTTGTACTGCTCTAACAGTTAGGAAGTTTTTTCTGATATTCAACTGAAATCTGAATTAGGGATTTCATTAATTCAACTTAAAAATTAAGATTCAAGACAAATACCAGTAGTAAGACCTTAAACAAAAATATTCCATTGTTAGAAAAGTCAGACATATTACTGTAAGCTCCAATAGAAATGTAGAAGCATTCAGCTCAACTTTTTCCTTTACTTTCCTTCCACACATGGTTGGTATGGGCAAAAAGGCTCTCTAAAGCCTGAGGCTGGGCCAGGCTGGCAAGTCATTACTTTGGGTGGCAACTTTAACTCTGACCATCTGATAGAAGAGTACCTCTCTGCTAAGAAGTGTAATGCATTTTTCTCCTGCCCCTCCAAATAATACTTGTGATTGTCTTCTTCCCCTTTTCAGGGAAATGAATAGCCTGCAACTCTTAACCCTAGCCCTGATTCATCAGCTTCTCCCTTGCTTCATACGCCCTACAAAGTAGCTCAAGTTTATCTTGTTTGAGGCTTGATTAATTTCATACTGTTATGTATTCTCTGATCTTCTTGCACACTCTAAAAATGTATTGCTCTAGAACAGTTTATTGCCAACTATTGTGATTTCTGTTGCCTCCATAAAGTGTTTTATTACTTTACCTCTCAAACTGTAAAATGCAGGATCAACAGCTATACAGTACTAGAATTGTATGGACTAATTTAGCCATCAAATAATTTGCCAAATATACATAAATCTCAGAGACCACTGGTAATGTTGCGGCTAAAAAATCTTGTCAATCAATCAATCAATCAATCAATCAATCAATCAATCAATCAATCAATCAATCCATCAATCAATCCATCAATCAATCCATCAATCAATCCATCAATCAATCCATCAATCAATCCATCAATCAATCCATCAATCAATCCATCAATCAATCCATCAATCAATCCATCAATCAATCCATCAATCAATCCATCAATCAATCCATCAATCAATCCATCAATCAATCCATCAATCAATCCATCAATCAATCCATCAATCAATCCATCAATCAATCCATCAATCAATCCATCAATCAATCCATCAATCAATCCATCAATCAATCCATCAATCAATCCATCAATCAATCCATCAATCAATCCATCAATCAATCCATCAATCAATCCATCAATCAATCCATCAATCAATCCATCAATCAATCCATCAATCAATCCATCAATCAATCCATCAATCAATCCATCAATCAATCCATCAATCAATCCATCAATCAATCCATCAATCAATCCATCAATCAATCCATCAATCAATCCATCAATCAATCCATCAATCAATCCATCAATCAATCCATCAATCAATCCATCAATCAATCCATCAATCAATCCATCAATCAATCCATCAATCAATCCATCAATCAATCCATCAATCAATCCATCAATCAATCCATCAATCAATCCATCAATCAATCCATCAATCAATCCATCAATCAATCCATCAATCAATCCATCAATCAATCCATCAATCAATCCATCAATCAATCCATCAATCAATCCATCAATCAATCCATCAATCAATCCATCAATCAATCCATCAATCAATCGCACTTTAACAGAAAACTAGAGCCACCATCCACATCAGAGAGTGTTTAGAGATAATTATTTTTGTTTCCATAATAGGACAAACCAATTAAATTGTAATTCAGCTCTATGCATCTATGGTTTGTAGATGACATACGGTGTTGACATTTGTAACACTTAAATGATTTATTCATTTAATTAATATTAACAGGGCTCAAGGTAATCCACAGCAGTTAAATTCAATGTAAAATCAAATACAACTAAAAGATAAAGCAGATTTCAAATGCAATTAAAAACAGATCAATTTTTAAAAAAACAGATTATTTCAGTTAAAACCAAGCTAATGTCAAATGCCTGTCTGAATAAACACCAGCAGGGAGTCTTCTCATGAGATGGCCAAAGTACTGGAGCTTCAGCTTCAGGATCTGTCCTTCCAGTGAGCACTCTGGATTGATTTCCTTCAGAATGGATAGATTTGTTCTCTTGGCAGTCCAGGGGACTCTCAAGAGTCTCCTCCAGCACCACAATTCAAAAGCATCAATTCTTCGGTGGTCAGCTTTCTTTATGGCCCAGCTCTCACTTCCATACATCGCTACTGGAAAAACTA